TTGTAAAAGAAGGATGTCTTGTTTTCTGCTTTATAATACTGTTTACTCATAGTGCTTTGACAGCTGTGGGATTGAGCATTCGCCATTTGATCTGGGAGCTCTTACTGGTGAGTGTGGTTCTCTGCAAAAGCACCATTATCTGTTTGTGCCTCTGTAGTCATCACCCACACCAGTGGCCTGCGTGCATCTGTTTGGGGATAACCTAATAACATGCACCTGGGAACTGCTGCAGTGCCAGGGTGAGCAGGGGGGTGATGGGAAATAGACACTGGGATTTAGAGCATGAAATGTGGTTGTTACAGGGAGTTAGCAGACACTGCTAAATTGTTTTCTTCATGCAGGAGTTTTTTCCAGTAGTGGAAAGGTGCAGACAGCAAGGAGTGCTTATGCCAGGCAGTGCAAGGAGCTGGGATGGCTGCTGTACGTGGTGTCCCGAGCCAGAACTGCAGGTCCTGTGACAAAAGCAGGCAAGCATCATGCACAAGAACACTTCAGAAATAATCCTTTCTGCCTCTGGTGTCAAAGCCTGTTATTAATTTATCCCCAGTCTGAGTTATTCTGTGTCACTTCTTACACTGCGGCTTTCAGAATCATCTCTGTCCTCAGTTTCTGCCCACGTCGGGTGTGCAGAGGTCTGTATTCAGCAGGGTGACGTTTCAGTTGAGTCCTGTGTGTGGTTGAATTTGTTTCTTCTGGGGCACTGCATCCCTCCTTGTGTTTTCTTTATGCTGTGTATGGCTGCAAGCACTCCACGTAGCGGGGTTGGTTCTGTGCCTGGGGGGTGGAGCAGTCTGTGGGCCTCCATGAGAACGTGCAAATCCGAGCCCTCAAAGTAGGAATGCTTTTGCATTTGTAAAGTGAAGCAAAATCATGATAAGATCAGAATGTGTAACAGACGGCCAAATTCCGACTGAGGTGGATTGCTGTGTTTGGTTTGGTATGAAGGTAATGCTTTCTCGCCTACGTGCAAACTTCATTTCTAAATACAGAAACAAACAGAATCATATTGGAAAAAATTGTGCATAAATAGATAATTATGTAGAAAGAAATAGCTGCTAATTAGCCTGGCTTCTTAATAGCGGCGCAGGAAGGCAAGAATAAAAGTACTTCTGTTTAGTTGATCTTATCAGGATTTCAGTCTGCATGTCTGTAGCTGCGCTGTGCTCTGTTGCAGATGTGTATGGCCACACCATAGAGATCATTCCAGCTTTTCTGCCCTCCTGTGCTCTCACTCTGCGAGATGCTTCTAAAATGCAAATGGTTTTTCTGTATGTGAAAGGGAGCTGTGGAGTTGTTTTTATTGTATGCAGATGTTTGTCTCTTCAGTGGATCTGTGTTTGTGTGGCTGCTTGATCTGCTTTGTTTTAACTGTGGATTACATTCCTCCTCTTGGCTGAACGGGTGCCCTGGCTGGTATGGAAGGAATCTTGCTTCTAAGGCACTTCCCATTAAAATCCAGAAGATACACTGCGTCGTCTCGAGATGCCCTGATTATTTGGCAAGCTTTGAAATGTAAAATTAAGATATCAGCGTATGAATCCAGGTTTTAAAGCAAGATTAAGTCATTGGCATCTGCTAACCTAAGATTGTATTCTGTTTTGTGAAGCATTGCAGTATAACATCTTCTGTTACACAGCATGAGGATGGGGCCTTTAAAGGTCCCCTTCAACCCAAATGATTCTTTGATTCTGTGATCTGTACCCTCTGGAAGAGCAGTACAGAAGAGGTTTGTAATCAGAAACAGCACTTCCACATTTATGCAGCAGATCTGATCTGCTCATCACAGCACTGACCACCATCACTTTGCTCCTCTGAAGTGGATTTCCCTAAGCAGTAACCCAAGAACTTAACAGAAGCCCAAGAGGCTGGAAATGGGAATGGATAGAATCTTACAGGTAATCTTTATGGAACAGACAGAAGCTGGGCACTGAAAAACACCAGAGAGGAATGGGACAAGAGTCCTTTCTGGGAGTTCTACTAAAATAAGCTTCTATTTGTGCTACACAAAGCAGTTATGCTTCTTAAAATACTATTGAGCTGTGCCATTAGGTGATGTCAGTCAGGCTGAAAGCTTCTGATGGATCATGGATGCATTGTACCAAATAACCCACAGCCTTCAGACGTCACTTTTTAAGTGCAAGTTACAGTTTGTTGGTTGCCCAGAGAATCTTCGTAACAGAAGGTGATGCAGTGCTTTCTGTTCATCTTCATGCCATCACCAAAATTAGAATTAAAGGTGACAGCAGTGGACGAGCCATACTTGAATGAAGATGTAATCACTGTTGTTGGATATACAGATATGTGCCTGTTTTTATAGCTTACCAGAAGTCATCTGTGAGGCTGTCAATTATGGGTAAGAATTAGCAGTAGCATTGATTTCAGTGGCATCTCATTGTTTTTTTCTCCTCGTTGCCTGATGCTCAATGAAGCACATGTCTAAAATTGTACTTGCAGATTATTCTGCCCTTCCTTAAAGGCATCCTAGCATGTCAACGAGAGAAACATCATTTCTGGGCCATGGCTGGGTTGCAGCCATCGCTCACAGCTGGCACTGAAGATGCTCTCCTAAGCAGAAGTGTGTATAATCACTTGGAAAGACAGCCCGTTTGTGCTACAGCTCTGTTTTGCTCATGTTTTAACGCTTCTCTTTTTGTCACTGTTGCTTTCCTGCTGGCTAGAGGGCTCCTGGAGAGAAGACCTAGTTGGGAACTTGCTAATGAGCTCAACGGAAGGCAGAATAGCACCAGCTTTAGCCAGCTTGTCTGGCTTGTGCCAGTCTTCTGAAATACCCCAGGTGCCATAGATGTGCTTGCTTGCTCCTTGGAGGGCTGCATTGCTTTATTCTGCTCTTCTCAACTGCACGCCATCTCCGATGCCAACGATGCTGTACCTGCAGGAGGTTTAGCTATTGCAAAGGTTTCTGTTACCCCAGAGACCAGCAGCAAACTGGTTGCAGGGAGGTGGCATTCCCAGGTGCTGGGAGCCCAGCAAAGCACGGGCTCTGCACGTTGGTGGTACATGATCCTTCTGGGTTTATTCTCTTAAACTCCATGTGCAAATTTAAACAGCGTAAAATATTTCAAGGAGTTAAAAGCAGAATTGATGCATGGCTGTAGTGTCACTGGTGGTTTTGTCTGTGTACAGAGGTCTTCACTTGCTACACTGAAATTATTCCTGTTTCCAAACTGGGCAAAGAGTGTGAAACGGTGGTTCTTCATTTAATTTTGCTTTAATGTTAATGTATTACACCGTCATTGCATGGATTGCTGACCTACCAGGAGGCCTGTGTCAGCAAATCCATCACATTTCAGAGGTTTTCAAGCTCTTAAATGTTCAGAATCCACTGCTGCTGCAACTCACTGACGGAGACGCTGTAAGAGACCAATGTTTTGCTTCATGTCTTCCTGTTCTTCCTAACCCTCTCTCTCTCTCTCTGGCCTTTTTGTGTATCCCTTTCTTTGTAGAATATGAATGACTTTCTCTACAGAGAGGATGTGGCTGAAGAGCCAGAGTGGAAAAGTGTTACCCCTGGCTTTGAATGGGAGGGCCCAAAGCAGTCGGTAGCTTTTAGCGAGACCCCAGTGCCGCACACCTCCGAGCCTCCTCCACGTGGTGCATCCCCCGCCAGCAGCCAGGACCACGAGGAGGAGCTGAGCCGTGCCCAGGGCTCCTGTGCAGCTGTGGAAGAGCTGGTGGCTGGCTCTGAGCTGCCTGAGCCCACTGCTGCCCCTGTGCTGCAGCCCCAGGGAAGAGCGGAGGTGGCGGAGGCCGGCGAAGACAGATTGGTGGGAGAGCTCGATGGCAAATGTCATGGCTCGAGCAGTGCGAGCGAGCTGCCCGTGGTCATTCGCTGCTTCCAGGTAGCCCTGCTCTCCCCACACCTCCCTGATTGGCTTGGGAGTGGAACCCCAAACACTGCAGCAAGCAGGTGCTCCAGACCCACGAGGAGGAGTTGTGCTTCCTTGGCTTGGGCGCTGTCTTGGCGCTGGGGACCCGGTCCATGTCCTGCAGTCGGTGTGCGCCAGCCCCTCTCAATTGATCTCTGCACTAAACACAAGCTGTGCTTCAGCACAATGCCGTTTGCCTTTCTGCAATGAAAGCGTCCTCTGACATCCCCAAAAGAGGAGCATTTAGGCTTAAGGTTTTTGCCATCTGTACTGCAAGGCTGAGCCTTAGTGCAGCACAGCAAATTGGATGCGTTGTCAAGCGTGCTTCCATGAGACGTGGGCATTGACATCCTCTTCTCCTCCCCACCTTGAGAGGCATTTTTGCCTGCTTCAGTGTTCCTGAACGTGAATTGCTTCCATTCCAATAGATGTCTGCTTCCCCTCTAACAACTGTGGTGGCAGCGGTCAGATTTGGGACAGCAAACAGCCATGGAGTGACTGGGGCAAACACTGCGGGGCTGAACTAACTCTTCTTTGGGATGATTATCATCAGGTGGTGGACAGCTGATTTCTTTCCTCCCCATTTCTCTTGCAAGATGTCACGTTTCTGTTTTGTCTGACATTGATTTAATAAAAGTTGAAGGCCTAGGATGAGATGAGGGTTTTTAATGAAATGTTCCACTTGTCGTCAGGATGAAATTTCTCAGCTGTGAGCAGGTCTCCATTTGTCCAGGGGTTGTGTTAATTGTATCAGTAAATGAGGGTCATCTCTTACTGGCAGCTGGCCTGGGAGCTTCTAGTAATTAGAAAGTTCATAATCAGGGGAGGTGTTCCTTATGGCATGGTGACACTGCTTGGAGCCTCACTGCCTTTGTTGGGCTGAGCTGGTGCCATGGTATCTGGGGATGTGGAGGATTTGTCTGTTAAATCCTTACATGGAGCCTTGACTTGCTGAGAAGTGTGTTGGAGCAGAGGCTTAGCAGTGGAGGTTCCAGGCTGACCTTGGTTCCCACAGAGCTTTTATCAGATCAGTGTCAGAACATTTGCAGACCACAGTTGTGATGTGGAAATGCTGAAGGGCATTGACTGAGCTCTTTCAAACCTGTCTCACAGCCACCCCTAGTGAAGACACAGACAGTCACCATCTCAGACGTGTCCAATGCTGTCAAAAGTGAAATTCCAACGAAAGAAGTTCCCATTGTTCACACGGAGACGAAGACCATCACCTACGAAGCTGCACAGGTAAGGTGTGTTCTGATTAATTTTCCAGGAGCTTAATTAAACTCATCCTAACGTGCAGCTCCTTGGGGTGATCCTGCAGCACCACCTGGTGCTGCCTGCCTTCCTCTGAACAGCTGAGCCACAGCACAGAGGTTATGGTTGATACTTGCAGGCATGCAGTGATTTTTGGAGTAGCAGCATTTTTAGCATCCCTGAAGAATAATTACCTTTTCAAGATATGCAGTTACTTTTCAAGATGTGCATGCAAACAGAATTTATCTTCAGCTCTGGGATGCAGATCAGGCTGTGCACATTTGGCTAGAGCTGGCTTTTTTTGTGCAGGGGCTGGCTTGGCTTGGTTCCCCCAGTTCTCCTTGCTGTTTATGCCTCTTCAGAACTCTATAAGCGTTTTTGGAAACATTTGAAGATTCTTCTTTAGTCCTTAATACTGAAATAGGTGCTGAGGTGGTGGATCTGCATGTTTCCAGTCCTGGGGCTTTGTGCTGAGCCTCCTGGCATCCACAAGGTCCTTGTTGTGCAGCTGAGAGTCCTTCAGCCAGCTGCAGAGGGGATCACTTTGTCTCTTAATTCCTGCAGTCTGCTTCTGAGGTGGGATTTGTACTCAGATTGCAGCCTGCTCTGTTGAGGTGGAGCCCCTGTTTCCATCACTGCTCACAGAAATTGATGGTGTTTGTTTTTGACTCCCACAGACAGATGGTGGCAATGGAGATTTGGACCCTGGCATCCTGCTCACTGCTCAGACCATCACATCAGAGACCACCAGCAGCACCACCACCACACAGATCACCAAGGTAATGAGATGAAGTGGTGACAACAGAAACAACAAAGTAAAGCAGCAACACGATAAAGAGATGGGCAGAATTGAATAACAGAAAAAAAAAAAAAACAAAGCTTGGGGATCCCAGAACTGCCTGTGCTGTATTAAAACTATAGATGATGTATTACATGGAGTCAGGTCTGGATGTTGGCTGTAGCTGTCCTGTGAGACAACAGGAGAGAAATGCACTGTGAGTCAAAGCTCTTCATTGGCACAGTTACAAGAAGAGATCACTGAATGCTTGACAGTGTTTGTCTGTGAGCAGTGACAGTTTTCCTCTGTGATTTTGATACTCTGGTATGACAGCAGTACTTGGTAATCCTATTTTTGGATACCATCTTTAGGCAGGCAGCCCCAGTGCACTCGAATTCCTTTTCACTTCTCAGCTAACAGCAGTTTTCCTTTTGTGTCAGACTGTGAAAGGTGGCATTTCAGAGACACGGATTGAAAAGAGGATTGTCATCACAGGAGATGCAGATGTGGACCATGACCAGGTAGGAGTCTGGATGCAGTTCAGAAGAGCTTCTCAGCATTGGCACAGGCTGCAGCCATGCTGTCTTTCTGAAGATAATTTAAACAGAAAATAACCTAGGGATTGTTTTCTGGGGTAAAAATAAAGCTCTAAAGCTGATTTCAATAATAAATTCCTTTTTGACAGTAGGCAGTTTCATAACTGGGACAGCAGAGCTTAATTCTGCTCTGAAACTGGTATTGGCAACAGTATTTTGATAGAATTGCTTTGGAAAATTGTGATTTAAAAAAAAAATCTGCAAGAAAATGAAATAAGTTTTCCGTGGTATCTGGATTATCTGCATTAATTTTCTCAAACCTTAGAAGAGAGATTGCTGCAGTGTAGTGCCAGAAGTTGTTTCGTAGCACTCAGCACCACTGGAGAAGAGATGCCTGCATTAAATCTCGCAGGCTTTATATGAGAGCCTTTCTGATGAGTCAGCCTCACTGGCCTGCAGTGTGTGTTGGAAGTGATGGTTTTGTCATCAGGGAATCATACATTAAATTTAATTTTAGTTGCAGCTATCACGGGCCTGGAAAACACTTGTACAACAAGAACTAGTTAGTTAATTCTGACAGCAAATGTCTGAGAACGTCTGCAACTTGCTAGCCATGCTTGCTGGAAGAATAAACAGAGTTTGCTTAATTGCTCCTATCCATCTTCTACCAGGGGCAGCTGAGAGATGTGATGTGTTCTTAGAAAACCATCTTGCCTTTAACAAATAGCCCAGTGCCACTGAAAGCCGTGCTCTGCTCCCTGAAACGTGCACGTTTCCTCTGCATGCAGCTCATGGCCAAGTAGTGTGTACAGATCCAAAAAGGCCTAATGATTCAGCACCTCATCACCTCGTGCTCCCGTTGGGATCAGGAGCCTTCAGGACATGAGAATTTTCTGCTTGGTGTAATGTGCACCATTGATTCCTGCCTTGCCTTTAAACCATGCTTTCTTCCAAACTGCAGCCAGGCGGCTTTGCTTTCCTTTCTTTCTGCCCAGAGTTAGAAATAGGCTCTTGTTGCCTCCAGCTCCCCCTGGCCCTTGTCTGAGATGTGCTCTCTTGCAGGTCCTAGCTCAGGCCATAAAGGCAGCGAAGGAGCAGCACCCGGACATGTCGGTGACCAAAGTGGTTGTGCACCAGGAGACTGAGATTGCAGAGGAGTAGCAGGGCTGAGTAAGTAGGGAGACCACGTGCCATAAAGGACAGTGCTGCTTCCTCTTCAGGGCAGGCAGCTGATCTCAGTGCAAGGGATGTTTGGTTCAACATGGTCAGAATTTAAGGCAAATGACTGTTGTTCACCAAACAGTCCTGCTCACACTGTTCCTATTGAATCTTTTAAGGCTGGTGTAGCAGTCACAAACACAGACTACTCATGAAGTGGAAGTGAGCCCCAAAAAAAGGTGTAAAAGAAGTGAGATGGGTGATGGGGCTGCTCTGTCATACCTCTCATCTCCAGCTCCTCGAGAGCATCCTGAACTGCAGGTTGCACAGATCCCTGCCTGTGTCATCTCTGGGCACTGGGCTCCTGCTGCTCCTGACCTGCCTGAAGCATCACTTCTTTGGTGGCTCTTAGAATTGGTGCTTTGGGGACAGGCACAGGGCATTGGGACAGATGCCCAGCAGTGCAGAGCCCAGGCTCACCCATAGCACTGCCAACAGCTCATCTCATCTCCAGTGACTTCAGGGAAGCACATTCCTTCTTACTGAGAGATGACTGTGAATAGCTATAGCTTACCCTGTTTCTCTTTCTAGGAAGTGTTCTTTCCAGATGATACCAGGAAATAAAATGGAGCAAAACTACAAAACAACTACCTGGAGCACAGAGACCTCAGAGCTACACGACTTTATCCTCAGAAACTGAACATTCATATCACTTAGCAGGATTTACGCTTCAACATTTTACTTGGGATTGTCCAGAATGCACTGGATCCTATTGGATATAGTTTGTTGGTTGTTTTATATATATATATATATATATATATATATAGTGACAAACAGTATGCCATATTTCTAACTGTACTAAATATTTTTACAGGTTTTCAATTTTGCATTCCCTTTCACAGCTTCTTCAAATGCAGGCTCAGACACAACCCGCAGGGCTCTTAGGGTTGCTTGGTGGGTTTTTCTTGGTTGTTTTTGTTGTTGTTGTTGTTGTTTTAAGTCTTATTCCCTCAGCCTGGTTAGGCATCATGGAGGTACAGCCACATCAGAGCATATCCTGACTGCAGGATTTGTACACACGTTCAGAAAGCAATGGGTCCTTCTGCCAGAAGAGCCACTTGAAAAGGTCAGACTTGAGTTTGTGCAGCATTTCCAATTAATTACCTCCATTTGTAGCTGGTAGGCAGTGTGAGACTCCTGCAGAACACCCAGGCACAGAGCAGGGCTTCTACTTTCACCATGAGCTTCATAGAACCATTAAGGTTGGGAATCTCAGATCACCATCCCAACCCCCCCATGCCCACCCAATCCTCATCCTTTGGACTTTCCTCACTTTTGGGTCTTGGACCCCCATTGTCTGAATGCAGTAGGGTTGTGTGGTGTAACATATATGCACACATCCTCGTAGTTGGCTAGCTTAAGGAATACTGGAAGTTGCTTCAAGTACCTTAATACTGTGAATTCTAGAGCTTTAAGAGGACTGTGGTAGATACTTCCCTTCTCCCATGCATCCCTGCTGAGTGCTCCCTGCCTGGTTGTGTTTTCTAGATGTCATTAAATTAAAAAACCCTTAGAAGTGTGCGTTTAGGATGTTTGGACTCTGGATGCTATTAAGATAGTCTTATGCAGCATTCACAGTAACTGATTTTCAGTGTCATAGTTTTTCACTTGTTGGTGTTCTTAATTTTTAAATGAGTTTTTTTTCCCCTGTTATGGGTTGTTTTTGTTTTTTTCCCCCTCCTGGTGCTATTTAAAGCTGAACACATTACCCCTATATCAGGGCAAGGTGTTGCATACTGCTTTCAATTAATCTAAAATCCTATAGCCAGTCCTTCCCCAGGCCCACAGGCTGCACTGGGAGAGGGAACCTTAGGAGGTGTCACATTGCTGGTTGCAATAAAGCCAATTGTGGAAAGCAGTGCAGCACTTTAGGAGTACTGCCTCCCCTCCTGCATGCTGGGGGAAGGATCTGTGCTTTGTGGCTGCCTTGCTGGAATGAAACACCAGGGCTCTTATCTGCATCTTAGGGCTGGGCTTACAGACCACATACAAAATATCTTAAAAATATATATATAAAAAAAAAAAAAAGAAAGAAAGAAAAGCACATAATATGAAGTTTGTGGAAGCCCCAGCCACCCCTCACACCCATTCCCAAACCCTTGGCCATCCCCACTCAGTGGATGTGAGCCAGGTCTCACTGCTGGTCCCTCCATGGCTCCCAGTGCTGAGCTCCATGGGAATGCTGTCACCATGCCCTGGTTTCTCCTTCCAGCATTTAAACACGATAAAATAAAGCTGTGTATAGTCTGCCTAACGCTTGTGAGCAGTAAGATTTGGAAGATGCAATTTTTTATTATTTTTTATTTAGTGTAGTGTGGCACATAGGTGGCTGAAGGTGTGGAGTGCTCTGCTGCCGCTCCCCAGTCAAGGATGGAGGAAAATGGCAATAAAAACCCCCCTGCTCTCTGCTCTTTTAAACTTGAATGATTTGTTTCTGAAGTCACTGGAGTTAGCTGAGGCTGCAGGGACAGCAAACAGCCCTCAGACTGCATTGCGGCTCCGTGTCACTTCTCAGCTTCAGGTGCACATGTTAAGCTGTCAGTTTTGATCGGAGCCCACACTGAGGCTGCTGGATGTGTGCTGAGAGCCTCGTGGATGGCAGAGCTGCAGCCTCCCCTCCAGCTGCCCCAGGGCTCAGTGCCCTCCTGGAGCATCCCATGCTGCCCATTAGCTCACACCTTCCTATGTCCACCTGAGCAGCCCCTCCCTTGCTCCCCTTGCAGCACAGCCCTTCCATAACGCAGCATCTCTGCTCCCTGTCCCTTTCCCAGGAGCTGAGTTCTTTGCTCCTGCCTTGCCGGCCTGCTGCATCTCGTTGGCCAGGAACTGGGTGCACATTAAGAGAATTTCAGAGCTTTTCAGTGGTGAATTAAGCACTTAGAGACACTCAGCAGTCACAAGAGTTGAGGGGAGCACTGTGCAAGGCTGGTGCTTGGCCAGTGGGCGACCTGCAGTCATGAGAGGCATTAGCCAAGAGGCTGCACGAGCGTGCAGTAACACAGCTGCATATCCTTTTTAAGAGGTGACAGAATAGAATAGCTATTCTTTTTTCCTATTTTTTTTTTCTTTCTATTTTTCTTCCTGCATCTTGGGTGGTTCTTTTCAAGCTGTTCCTCCTCACACTTCCCTCTTTTCACCTCTCGCTTTCCTCGAGCGCTTCAAACAAGACAGAGTTTCCTCCCCATGGTGAGAGCTCTTGCTGGGGTGGTTTTAGGCAGCAAAGTGCTGCTGGGCACCAGGCAGCTCCTGCCTGTGGGGCTGAAGGCAGCAGCAGGCAGCACTGCTCTGTGCAGCACTGCTCTGTGCAGCACTGCTCCAGCTGTGTGCAGCCCGCACCCCTTCCTGCACCAGGTTGTTAAAGCTCACTGTGTTAGGGACAAAGCAACTAAAGGTCTATTTTTATGAATGTTCCCAGCTCTTCCCACTCCACAAATTCACCCAGAGACTGTCTTGATTGTATAATATACATTATATGGAAGCTATTTATATATGAATGAATGTTTTTATAGAAGGAGCGCAGCTCGTGACCCGTGCTCATCCATTAAATCTGGCTCCAGTCACCAAACAGCAATTTCTGGGGTATTACCCACGGACTGTCTGATTTCTGGTTTAATGAACTGTGGTTTGCCGATTTCCTAATTGTACAATTACCTGAAGAGGTGGTAGTGCCCTGACCTTAGAGATTAAACTTGTAAAAAACACACAAAAAAAAAGTTAGTTGAGATATGAAGGAGCTTTGTAAAGTTTTTAAGGCAATGGTGAATTGTCTAGGCTAGCTGTTTACACTCTTCTTTATAAAAATAGAAACTTATTGGCAGATCTTTATAGACTGAATAGTGATGGGAGCTGTTATTTTGGACTTTCATAGTAAATCAAAGGGAAAGTTGCCGTAGCATTTAGACAGACGTAAGTGTTCGGTATTGCTTCTTGTATTGCATTTTTCAATAAATTTTCAAACAAAACCACATCCTTGCCTCCCAAGCAGTTTCCTTGCCAGGTCTCTTCCCAGCACCGCTCCCTGCAGTTCACTCCATGCCCTCTGCAGCCCCGGGTTGGGATGGGATCCCCAAAGCAGAGCCTGAGCGCCCAGCATCCCCCACAGCATCACCATTAACAGGTGAGCACTTCTGCAAAGCAACCACTGCCAAACCCAGAATGGCTGTGACCGAACCGGAGCAGAGATGTTGTCTGACACCACTTTTAGCTTTTTTTGTTTGGCTGGGGAGGCATCCATCCCATCCACAGCATCCTTAAGAGCAGCAGAAATACCAGCAGGAGTGCTGACACGGCGCGCTTGGCGGTGCTGCACTGGGGGGCTGGGGGCCAATTGGCTCTCGAACTGCTCCGTGTTTTCAATTGCAACCCGCTGCAGGCAGAACTTAAAAGAGAGCCATAGAAATCAGCCACAAATAGTTGGGAAAAGGCCGCTGCTGGAGCTGCCTCTTCCATCAGTTGTCAGCACAGGGTGACTGACCCGGCACGAAGATGAAGCTGAAAAGCGCATCGGGTCGCTGAGCCGGCGGCGCCCCAGGCTCTGAGGTTTGTCCAACCCCATTAGGATCACCGTGTGCGCCAGCGAGCCCAAAATGCTCCTTAAATAACCCTGCCCTGGGGCTGGGGAGGGCTGCTGAAGTCGCCAGTACACGACCCAGACAGAGCCCTGTCCCTGCAGGAGCAGCCCTGTGCCATGGAGGGAAAATGGAGAGGGGTCAGAAACACGAGTTTGGGGCAGAAAGAGCAAAACTTGGCACAGCATTCAGCTGGTGAGGTGAGGAGTTGGCCCTGCATCCCTTTAACCCCTGCCTCAGTTTCCCCCCCATGCAGAGCCTGCCTGCAAACAAACACCATGGAAATGTAAAGGAATTCCAATAAAAAGGAAAACCACCAAACCCAAAGGAAAACCACCAATCCTAAAGCAGACCTCCTGAGGGGCCCCACAGCCAGGCTCTGTCTCACAGCTCCCATCCATTTAGAGGAGCCAAAGCCACTGCTCTCCCTCTCCCACCCCTTTTCCCTGATCCCATTGGGAGCAGAACGTTCCCATCCACATCCCAGGGGGATATTTTTAGGCTGGTTGATGCCATTTTGGGAGCCAAAATGTGGCTGCTTAGGCAGGGTCAATGCTGTCACTTGTGACACCCAGCACCCACAGCCCCTCTCCCTGCCCAGGAACCACGAGGGGCACTGGGGCAGCCCTGCACCCCAAGCCCTGCATCCCAGTGATGGGGATGGGGCTGGAAACTCCCCTATTGCATCAGCCCCAAGATCTGTGGGCTCCATGCACCGTAGCACCAGCACCTATGGGTGCTGCAGCTCCAGTGCCCCCATAACTGTCTGGTCTCTGTTCCCATCATCAAGACTCAGGGCTCAGAGCATCCCTCCTGCTCTGCACAGCACACAGCCCCCTCCAGACCATCTCCAGCAGGCCCAGCCCAGAGCACAGCACACCAGTACAGCCCAGTTTCTGCTCCACACTGTGCTTCTCAGACACCACAGCACTCATAATTGCATCACTTTGCTCCACTCCATCACCACCACATCCCTCCTCCAAGCAGCCAAACCTTTTGGTCCCTTTCTTGGGGACAGGGAGACCTCAGTGCTATGGGGTAGGGTACATCCAGGGGGGCTCAGAGGGGGAAAAGGAGAGCACAGAGGGACATTTTTAAGTCACATCATTCTGGAAGTTTTGTATTTGGAACCTCTGCTTGGAGGAACAGAGGGAGCTGAGCCATTAACACTGCCTTGGGGTTAATTATCATCCAGGAGTTAAAGGGCTCTACAGGAGAGAGCCAGCATAGTGCCAGGCACCCACTGAGCTTCTCCAGGTGTTTTGTTGGAGTGGGAACAGATCCCAAGTTCCCATCCTTACAATCTGAGGTGCAGACAATGAATTCAGGCTTCAGAACTCAGCTTCCCAATGGGACCCACTGATCGAGTCCCAAACCTACAAAGGCAGCAACAAAACAAGCAACCTCAGCCAGGTTCCGAGCACTGAGATGACAGCTCAGAGCTCACTGCCACAGCCAACCAAAGGCAGTGCCCTAAATCCCACGCACAAAGGTCAGAAGGTTCCATCACTGCAGGGCACAACCCATCTCTGCATGGACCCTCGTGCTTAACCACTGGGATCTCATCAAGTGGCAGCACTGAGCCCTCTCACCTTCCCCTCCTCCACACACTGCCTATGCACAGATTTACAGCAGGGAGAGCATTCCCTAAACAATGCACCAGCACTTGGGTTCCCTGGCTGTACTACAAGCATGCAGCCACCAGCAGAGTGCTTGAAATCTTTGGGGGGAGGTGGGAGGGGAGGGGGAGAAACAGACAAGACTTACCAGGCAGGCAGCATCACAGCTCTGAGTTTGCTCAGTGCAGGGAGGGAAATGCAAGTGAGCCCAGGGCTGAGCAGCTGGAAACCCTCTGCAAAATAGCAGCGTTTTCCCTCCATCTCTTTTCCATACATTGTTATTATATATGCATATATATATGTATATATATATATATTTTTTTTTGCCCCAGCTTAAGACATTGCATTTCACAGCTGCACAGCACTGAGATGCTTTTGGGGTGCTTTAATTCTGTAGTGGGATGGAAGCACCACTGCAACAGTGCTTCCAATGCTGCGTCCCAGGGCAGCAGCAGAGCTGGGGATGTGTGTGCACACAAAGGAGGAGTTACTTTTGATCTCAAATAGCCCCCAGGTGCATTCCTGCCCCAGGTTGGTTGGGTTATGCACTCACTGAGTGCTGCATCACCTGGAGGTTAAGCAGGAAGCCAACCACAGCCCAGCTGCTTGCTGGGCTGCTTTGTAGCAAAGTGGAGGCAAACGAGCATGAAGCAAACACTGAAAAGAAACAAACAATGCCAAATTTCCCAAGAGGGAAAAAAAAAACCCACAAACCCTGACTGCTCTAAAATCAGTGCTTTGAGTCTTGTAGGCATTCATCTGCCCATTCCCAGCCTTGGTTGGAATCACCATCACTAATCAGGGTAGAGATGCAGGCTGGTGGTGAGCAATGGCAGCTCCTGCCCTCCCCTTTTCCCCAGCACCAGCACAGCTCTGCTGGAGGACAGAAGGGTCTTTGGCAGCGACAACGTGGTGCGTTTGTGCCAGAGCACATGGCTGCCAAGTCAAAATGTTCTGCAGAGATGGTTTGGGCTGAAGAAAGACATTGTCCTGCAGCTTCCAAGGTCCAAAACCCTGCGCTTGTTTCATGGAGATGGGAACAAAAGAGAAAACAAAAACATTTCATGCAGCAAAGACATATTTCAGCAGCTGACACTCAGCCCCACACCACAACTTGGCTCTTGGGGTAGGAGAGGCAGGGATCCAGCTCGTGCAGCAGTGCTGTGCTGTTGTGCAGCAGCTCTGAGTGGGGATCCACTGCAGCCTGCAGAGGAGCTGGGAGGTTTGGGGACGTGTCCCCAGCTGCTGCTGCTGGAAAGAATTTTGGGGAGGAGGGCCCTGCTGAGCACTGCAGCAGCAGCAGGATCAGGCATGGACCGCAGTGCTGCAAAACAACCTTCTCTATTTTATCCTCATGGAAGTAACGTGATGCCCCTCAGCAGCTCCCATCCTGCAGCCAAATGGCACCACGTAACACAAGAGCAACCAGCAGCACCATAAAATCAAAGCCAGCCCCTTCCTCTCCCTCACTGCATCCCACCGTTGCTTGCATCCAAACAAAACTATCATCTCCACCCCAAAGTCAGCTTCGGAAACAATCACACTGCAGGAACTTTTTGTTGCTTGAACTTTGCAGCTGCCTGGGCAGCAGCACCAACATCTGCAGCTCCCTGGGCTCCTTTTGCATCACCCTGAGCTCACCACCTCTGTGCACGTACACAGCAGCAGGGCACACAGCATCCCTGCTGCCATACCTGCACAGAGAGGCTGTGAAGGAGCTGAGCCCCAGTGCAGGCAGTTGGACCCCATATGGCACAAACCCCACAGGACCGGCGCAATGAACACCTCTGCTTTTAGGACAGCAGCACCCACACTCACCCCTTTGGCATTCCCTATGGGAAACCGAGTCCTCTGAGCACAGAGGCTCAAGGAACAAGGGATGAGATGGGTCTGCACCCAGGTTTGAGGCAATTTCAGGGAAAACAGAGGTTTGCAAGGGCTGGTGATTGGCTCCAGTGAAGTGGTGATGTTTTTCCAGGTAAAGCTCTCCCTGTCCACCTTCCTCACACACGTTCCCACACTGCCCAGAGCCCAGAGCGGTGGGGATGTCACACTCCCACCCCTAGTATGAGACAAGGGAGCACTGCATGGCATCAAGGTAACATTTAATGGCCCTGTCAGGCTCTGCTCAAGCATATTTCCCTTTGGGTTGGGCAAGGGGACCCATCTGTGCTTTGCTCACCCCGACCCCATGCCATGGTCCACGGTGAGTCTACAAGTGGGGGCTCCTCCAGGAAGGCTGCCAGCAGAAGGGCTCTGTAAGGCTGAGAGCATCCCCAGGGAAGGTGGTGAGGAAGAGGAGGCAGGCGAGGAGGAGCAAAGATCCCAACCCAGGAGCCCTCCCCAGGCTCAGGGACCTCTGAGCATCGAAAGTCTGCTTCAAACCCTCAACCCCAGGGCTGTCAGACCCGCGAGCCCCCCTCCGTGCCCACCACCCAGGAGCTGGGCCGGGGCTCAGCATGGTGTGGTGTCCCGCTGGTCTCCAGTAGCCGGTCCAAGGACTCTCCCCAGTTCTCCAGTTTGGCATAAGCCACCGCGTTGACGTGATCAAGCCGGGGCCAACTCCGGTTTTTACGGTCCTTGATGGGAGCCACCAGCAGCACCCCCGGCCTGCCCAGGTCCAGGGACTTGGAGTGGCCCGGGTTGTGGGGCTGAGCATCGGGGCCTACATCCATCGCGGGGCCACCGTCCTCCATGTTGATGACAACATGGCCGCTGTGGTTCTCCAGGCCCCGAGGCGCGATGCTGCTGCCGCTGGGGGACAGCAGGGCACAGGGGGGCAGCGGGCCTTCGGCAGGGAGGTGGGTTCCCTCTGTCATCACGTTGGCCCCCCGTGAGGCGGCATCCAGCAAGCGGTTGTTGAGCTTGATGATGGGCAACGCCAAGGCCCCGACGGTGGCGGAGAGCCCGAGGTTTCCCTCCGAGTGGAGGCTGAGGAGGGAGGCTGCTGGGGATGCCCCTGGGCACTGCATGAGCTCAGCTGTGGTCTGCAGCCTGTTGGGGCCAAAGCCATCGGCCCACTTGCTGCCCAAGGACAGGTCCACTTCATAGCAGCCCTCCAAGCACTCAGGGCTGGCTTTGGGTGCCAGTTGGGTGTCCTCATCCTTGGGGCAGGTCTCCTTGGGGAGATCCGTGGCCATGCAGTAGAGGCCCTTCTGCATCAGCATGCGGGTCTCCATGTCCCTGTTCTCGTAGAGCATGGTGTTGGCACAGATGAAGATGAAGAGCCCGATGCCCATGATGACAGGGCCGATCAGCTTCAGCTTCTCATTGTGTGGCGTGGGACGCCCGGCAACCACCTCCCTCCTCATGTCCCCCGCCGTGCTGGCATTCCCTGCTCCAGCCCCAGCACCTCCGTGCCCCCGGTGGGGCCAGTAGCCCACCACGGCAATGGTCATGCCTACCAAGACCACCGAGATGCCCACCATGACGAAGGCTCCCGATGGCGAGCGCATGCGAAGCTGTCCCTTCACCGCCACCTCCGGCAGTGATTTGCGTCGTAGCCTTCGGCCTCGGCGCCGCGGTGGGGCAGGGGGGGCTGATGGCTTTGTGCCCCCCACCGTCGGCTCCCGCATGGGGCCATTGGGTTCGGTGCTCTCGGCAGTCATCGTCGATGCCTTGGCTGCTCTTCCTGCAGGGAGAAAGGTGGTGTGAGCTTCACGTGGTGATCTGGGGGTCCGGGTGTGTGGGATGCATGGGGGACAGTGGGACCACATTGGGAGCACGGGGATGGTGAGAACATGAGGATCATAAGGATATTGGGACCAAAAGGACACTGGCGGCATGGGGATGCTGAGAACTTGGGGATCGGAGACAACAGGGGTGTTGGGAACATGAGAAGAAAAGGGACGTTAGGAGCACGGGGACACCAGGAGGATGGGGACCACAGGGACACTCAGCCCCCAGCTGTGCCATGCCAGAGTCCAGCAGTTCTGATCTCCTATCTCACTGCCCACTTTCCTGTTTATTTCTCCCTCCCTGCTCAGGATCTCGGTGGTGGTAGAAAAGCTGAGGGCTCCTTCAGACCCACCAAAGCCCTACAAAACCCAAGCTGTGCAGGGCAGCCATGATCCTGCTGCACCCCATGCTGCACCAGCACACAGAGGAGAGAAAATGAGCCACCCGTGTCTCCTGCAACCAGGTGGCAGCAGGCAGCTCTGCCTGGTGGCACTGAGAGGAAGGGGCTCTTTATTCATGGGGAAACTGAGGCATGGAGACGGGCGGCTGTAGAATGGCTTTCAGAAAGCTGTCAGAACTCCACTTGCAAATGTGCTCCAAAGGTGACACAGCAGCAGAGGGAAGCTGTGCATCACACAAGCAGCCCGACAACACCGTGAGGAGAAGCCAAAAGGAAAACTGATTGGGAACACAGTGGCACAGGGCAGGGAAGGGAGATGGGCAGTCTCATTTACTCCCTGAGATGAATGAAGTGGCAAGAGCCAGCAAACAGCATCACCAACGGGAGGAGAAAAATAAAACACGAGGGCTTTTTCCAGCCTTAATCATCTTAAGGTGTCATTAGCATCCCAAGGAAGGAATTAAAGATATGAGTTTCAGGATGACAGCGTGTTCCCAGCACGAGGTTGTCAAGCTGTGACCATTTCAATGAGAGAGATTTAAGGGGAAAAAAAAAAAAAAGCCCCAAACAAAACAGAACAACAAAAACCAAACCCAACCTACAGCTGACAGCTGAGTGAGATCTCAGTGTTTCTCTGGAACCAGCTGGTAATCCCACGTCACGAGGCGGAAAGCAAAACAGACGCTGCTATGGAGGAGACCAAAGGCAACGGTCACCCAAAAGGAAAAGTGACCCGTGTTTCTTGCAGCTCTGAGCACTCATAGGTTCCCTCCTGAGTTTTCTTGGTTACGGTCCTAAATTCGACCTCTCAAATGTTACATTAAACATCTTGCTGGCATCTTAGGGATTAAACAACAGCAAAAACCCCTAAACCCTGAGCCACGCAAAAGCTGCATGTCCCTGCCCAGCTCCTGCCACGGCCGTGCAGCCAGCTCCTATTTTTGGCACCGAGCCCTTTATTCCAAATTCCTTCACTATCTCCCTTACCCCCCATTTCCCCCTCCTCCCCCCCCCCGAGCATCCCCTTTGGGTACCACCATGGGGCCGGGCTGCTCTTCCCACGATTTCCCATCGGAAATGGCTCACAGCCAAAGCGCGGGCTGACGGATGCCTGGCACACAACAAGGCACAAGCACGGCGTGCTCCGGGTGCTGCCCAATCCCCGGGGGTGGGCTCCTCATTGGAAGCCCCCTCTGCCTCCCCCCCCTCCCCCCCGGAGCCGGAGGTACCGCTGCCCTTTATCTCTGTGCCACCCAACAGCTGCCCGCGTCCAGAAGTTGCAGCATCGCTGGAGATGGTTGTTCCCAGAGTTCAAAACCATTACTTTTATTAATAGAATCCCCAAGGTTACATAAGCTCAAAGAGAGGGGAGGGTGTGTGTGGGGGGGGGGACATAAAAATTCAGCGTTGCCATCAAATTCAGGAGCTGGCAGACACCGACGCGCCCGCAGTTGTGTTAATGCAGCGGAGGCAGCTGAGCCAGGCAAAGTTTGGGTGCAGCAATGGGGGTCGTGGTGGCACCGCTGGGAGAGCACAGCCTGGGGATGTGGGGCAGCCCAATCCCTGCCACCACATCCCCCCTCCTCCCCCTTGGCCTAACCTGCTTGGTGCTGAGGGCTCCCGTTCCCTCGGGGGGAGGTATAGAAAAGTAAACGCCTTTAGCATCGTCACAGAGCGCTGCCAGGTTGGAAGCTAAGCTCCCAACCCCAGCAATAAGGCTGTCGTGAAAATAAACGCAAATATTTTTCTAATCCACCTCACCACGAAGGCACATCGCCGGCTCCATCCCCCCACCCCGATCCTCTGCTCCCTCCTTTGCGTGGAGATGCTTTGAAAATTGGGCACCCAACTGCAGTGCATCCGATGGCGGCGGTGCTGCCCGTGGGCACAGCGACAATAAGGGATGGCCCCTGGGGGACCTGGGTGCCTCGGGATGCTCTGCCCTGAGACAACGCTGTCCATGTGAATTTGTAGCATGCCACAGTCTATCAAAAGTCATATTTAGTCCTCAAACATCCCTCTGGACAAGGGATGTGCAAAAGGAGACGGCAGTGTGCATAGAAACAGCATCACCCCCAGCTCCTGGGAATGCACCACAGACCCTCAGCAGATGGGGAAGGTACAACCTGTGCCTTCATGGGCAGGAGAGATGCTGCTGCCTTTTGCAGGTGGGAGACATCAGGATCTGCCAAGCATCGCATCTGTCCTTTCTCTGTGGTCCTTTCTGTAGGCTGGCACAGCCCAGGTGTTCCCCATGGACATGGAGAGGGATGGAAAAGGCCCAGGTGGGAGCAGAAGCTCAGGAAATCACCAACAAACTGAAAACGCATCATTTTCCCATTGCTTTTTTAGAAATAGTGTGGCACTTCCAAATGCTGCTCTCCTGACTTCTGCGACTTTAATGCTGATCTTCAGGAGCCGTTGTTGAAACCCATCACCCCATCACCCAGCAAAGCCCATTTAAAGGCTGCTGGGATGGATGAGATCTCCAACACACCCCAACAATGCAGGGAGTGCGTGCCACTGCTCTGAGCCCCCCCGGGACCCTGAGTATCCTCTGTGGGCACAGCAGGGCCATCCTCCCACAGCCTGCATCGCACTGCTGGCCACAATAAAAACAGCTCAGATCACTTCTCAGCTCCTGTGGTCCCAACGCCTGATGAGGCTGAGCTCCCCTCAAAGGCCCTCTGTGCAGCAAAGCCGGGCAGCACAGACCCATAGGTGCAGGGATGCACAGCACATCCCAAGGGCTTCCCACCCAGCAGTGGAAGTGAGGAGAGAGCAATCTGCTCTGAGAAACGATGGTTAAAAACAACACACATCAGCATAACCTCCAGCTCTACCCCAGCACAGGGATCTGCAGAGCAGTGCCTGCTGCCAGCCCTCCTCCCATCCTCACCTCCCTCCCAGCTCCCATGCACAGCCCTCATTGTGGCTGCTGTGCTTGAGCAGCACCTGCAGGTGCCCAGAGCACTGCAGGTTCCCAACCTCTGCTGGTTCCTCACCTCCAGCTGGTCTCGAGGCAGAGCTGCTCTCCAGCAAAGCACCCCAGCTCTTCTGCTCCCAATTGCCAACTGCCTTTTTTTGCTCCAGCAGTCCTGGTTTGATGAACTCACTCCCAGCCTGGCTACACCCCACTGTCACATCCCTCCCACTTCCCAATTCTTCTTCCTCCAAATCTCTCTCCTTAGCTACACAGGTGTCCAGACAGCAGCAAAAAGATCAAAAGCAGCCCTGCATCTTTCTGGGGCTCTCTGAGCAGAAGAAATCCCTCCTCAACCCCCAGCCCCACTCACCATCCCACCAGCACTGAGCCCTCCAGGCTCAGTCCATGAGTAAATTTCCACACCCTGCCCACACGTTCCCAGCACGGTGACAAAATCCAGCTCCCCACCTCCAGCTGTTGCTGGGGCCACCCATTAATCAATCATCATTAATTAAGCTCCCCCATGGAAGCTTTCTGTGATAATCACAGCTTGAAGTGAAGGTCCCAGCTCCAGCCCTGGGCTGGGGTCCCACTTTTAGCCAAACTCCTGAGATGCTGTCAGGACTCACAGCCCCCAGATGTGGCCATTCACCCTCTGCCCGTGGCCCAGAGGTGACAGTTCATCAGTTCCCAATGTCCCTGGAGGCACTGTGGTCACCAATGTCACTTGGAAACAGGACATGGGACAGCAGTGAGCGGACACACAGCTCTGTCCCCTTACCCATCCCAGCCCCTTCACCTCGACTTCCCTCCCCCCAAAACGGGGCCATCTGCTCCATCCCTCCTTACCCTTAAGGCGAAGAAAGTGCGTGGAAACATCCCACTGATTACTAATTACCAGAGCTCGCCTTACCCAGATTTACTCTGCTAATTAGACTAATCTCCACAGCGGGGAAATGAGCGGCAGGCAGCCGGAGCGAGGCGACGCTGCGGGGTGGGTGGGCACTGTGCTCAGGGCAGGCCTGGGAAGGGACTCAGACCCGTTGTGTAATGAGACAACGAAGGGCGAATTCCATGCAAGCCCTCCGAGCTGATGCTGAAATCAGGACATCTGCATTGCTCAACTTTTTGATAGGAACCAGATGCAAATAATTAGTAAATCCAAATTCGAGATCACGCAGGCGTCTAAATTTAAACGGGGAACGGATTTCTAATGTCAGCTTTTCACTACCTTGGAGAGGGAGGAGGCGTGGGGAGCTCAGAGGGATTTCCTGGGAGAATTCCTGCCTCTGTGAAGCAGTGCAGGGTAGCAGGGTGCAGGAGAAGGGACCGCAGCCAGGCACCTCGCACATCAGCCTAGAGAAAAGGAAGGGAATCCCCCAGGTCTGCGTCTTGCAAGGAGTTGGGATCAAACTCTGAATTTGGCTCCTTTCCTTTTGTTCCTCCAACAATCCCTGCCAAATTGGAGGTGGGGAGGGATGCGGGGGCTGCCAGGAGCTCAGTGCTCTCAGACACAGTGTGAGGGGTCTGGCAGTGCACATCCCTCCTTGACCCAGGGATCCCTGACATGCAGAGCAGCGCTGGCATTCGGCGTTCCCGATGTATTCCCAGCTGGGATCACTCTTCCCTCCAGCATCTGAACGCTCACATCTTCTCTGCTCTGTGCCCTGCTTTACTTTGCTCTGCCCTGCGGCCACGAATGCAAAGCTCCTGCTCATGAGCAGGAACTCAAACCTACTTGTGAGCAGAGGTGTGGGTCCACACTGCGCTGCTGCTGCAGAAAGGCCCTCCTGATCCCCACCACCAGGAGCTCCAGGGCTCATTTCCACCCACTGCTCGTCTCCGGAGTGCCTAAATCAAATCCTGTGCGGGTATTTGCTCTGTGACCACCCCTCAGGTCACAGCATCCCAGCAAGGAGATGAGAAGCTGCAAAAAGTACTGCAGTTTGGCTACAACAGCACCGACCCTTCCCTGGTCTTGGGTCCAGGCTGCACACGGGTGTGTGCCTGTGGATGTGTGCACACGTGTGAATGTGCAAGCGTGAGCGGCGTGCACGTGAATACGTGCATGTAGATGTGTGCATGTGGATCTGCGTGTGTGCGTTTGCTTTTGCTCCAAGCACCCGGCTCCGACCTTCGTGCACACACGCGTATGTGTGCACGCAAACGCGTGTCCGTGGGAGCCCCGCGTGTGCGCATAGCGGTAAGCGTGAGCCCGGGGCTGATGTCTGTCCCTAAGTCCGAGCTCACAGCGCTGCCCCGACCCCGCGCTCCCTCCCATCTTCGGATCCGTTCCGCTCCCGTCCCGCTCGCAACCCCGCACTCACCGGCGGCCGCCTCCCGCCGGGGCCGCTTCCCCCGGGCCGCCGAGCTCTGGGGGTCGGGGCCATGGAGGGGCTGCGGAGCGGCGCGGCTCCTTTCGCTTCGGCTCGGCTCAGCTCGGCTCGGGGCGGCAGCGCGTCCCGCCCGGCGCCGGTTCCCCTCCCCGCCCTCCGCCCGCGGCCCCGCGGGGAGGCGGAGCGCGGGGCCCGGAGCATCGCCAGGGAGGAGGAGGAGGAGGAGGGCGGAGGGAAGAGCGAGAAGAAGCCGTGCCCCGACCCGACAGAACGAAAAGTTGCGGCCGCTTCGCGCAGCGCCGCTGCGGCACCGGGGGGATTTCGCGACCCCCGTCCGGCAGCGCGGACCCCAGGTCCGCGGGATGGGAGCCAAAGAAGAGCGAGCCCCGGGAAGGAGCCCCTCGTCCTGCTCGCATCCCACGAGATGCACAAAGTCCCGGTCCTGTCTGGTCTGCCTGCGCTGGGAATTGGGTCTATACGCTGCGCTTCACGCTTTGCTTTCTCCCTTCCAACCACGCAGTTGCGAAGCGCATCCGTTGGAATAAAAGCACCGCTCGAAGTTCACTTTCCAGCCATCCCCCTGCAGGCACCACGGTGTCACCCACACACTCACACCAACACCACACCAGTGCCACGGAGATTCAGCTCCCTTCTGCTCCGGTGCCATTTGCATTTGTCAGGGTTTCATGCAAACATTCACAATTTGCACTCCCCTTCTTCACTGTGGTTGGGAAAAACCTAAGAACATCAAATGAGATCCCTGCTTACTCCACAAAATACGGCTCCACAGTTCCCTGTGTGACTTTGAGCCACCAGCAGCATCCTATGTCCTGTAAAAAAAACGCAAACTCCATCCACTTGGTTTTATTGCATTGCCCAGCAAAGGGTTTTAGAGTTCTTAGGATGTGCACCCACCTCCTGCAGGGGAACATCAGCCAGGGACCCAACGACAAAAGAAAAAGAACCCCCCACTCTGAGCTGTGCTGCAGGGGTGGTGATGTCCTTCCCAGCCCTGCTGTGATGCTCAGGTGAAGCAGTGCTGGAGAAATTGGAGCAGGGAGGGCTGGGATGGGGCTGCAGCTGCAAGTTCACAGCTGTCCCACTGAGCTGGGGAGCTCATCCTGCACCCCACTACTGCAGCAGCCCAGGGAGGATTACAGCCTGTTCTCTCTTTCCTATCACAGGAAAATATCTGGGCTCTCCTTGATCCAGGATAAATTAATGCTTTTGAGCAAAATTTGACTTCCATCCCCAGGCTGTACCTGTGCCAGGTGGAGCCAGCCAAGGAACCGGAGCTGGAAGCAATGAGAGCTCAGCTCCAGGAGCACGAGCTGGCAGAGAGGCATTGTGCTCCATCCCTCCCAACTGGAGCACGGGAGCCTGCTCCATTGCAATATCCAAATCCAGATCACCCCCTGACACCCCAAGTGTCATTAACACCATGAACATGACCGAGGATGAGGGAAGCAGGCACAGAGGACAGTGGGAGGTGGGTATTTCTGTTGTCCCAACACCTCCTCCTTCTCACAGAAAGTGAGATAACACCCGGAGGAGTGGAGAGGAGAGGAGAAAGTAATGCAGAGGGGGCAAAGGGGCACCAGGAATAGAGAAGGAGGACCTTGGGAAGGAGTTCACTGTGGGGTGGGAGATGAGCAGGACCAAAGCTTGGAGCACTGCTACAGAAACGGGGATAGCAAAAAGACAATAAGAAAAGTAAATCAATGTTACTGTCTGAGAGGGGAAATAAAACATAGATCTCGGGGTAATCAGGCACCTCGCTCTTGATATAGGAGAGGGAAGGGAACTGCAGCCTGCCTTTTTTCAGGTGCTGGGGGCTGGTGGTCCTGGCACAGCATCCTGGTTCTGTGCTGCCTCGGTTGGGCACAGGAACCAAATGGCCTGAGGAAGGAGGAGACAGAGACTGATCACAGCCAGGATCTTAGATCAGAGAGAAGGAATGTTGTTATGGAGAGGCTGAGAGCTCAGGGTGGGATGACTCATGCTGGAGAACATACAGCTGTTGGAAAGGGATCTGGCACCGAGCGCTGAGGCTGCAGAGCCCTCCGTGTGAGCAGAGAGGGGAGAGAGGAGCTGGGGCTGTTCATTGCTTCCTGACTCAATGGATGGGATGGGATGGGATGGGATGGGATGGGATGGGATGGGATGGGATGGGATGGGATGAGGACAGCACCTCTGCACAGCACAGCAGCACCCACCCTATGGCCAAGGCCACGCTTGGAGCCACAAGGATGCACTGAGCACAATGTGGACACACTGAGCAATGGGAAAACTGAGAGATGCGCTGCCTGCTGGTTGGCTGTGAAGAGCAGAACATGGCTGGTGATGGGCAGTACTCACTGCTGCAGCCCTGGCTGTGGATCTGCATGCCACACTTTGGGGGGAGGCAAGGAATTTCACGGCTGGAAGCCTGGGGGAGAATCCAGACTCTCATCTGCTACCAGGCTGGGATTCTGTGACCATGGGGAGACCTGGGGAAGGCATTAGGAGCAACTCCAAGGCAGAGGAGGAACCTGTGCCTTCCCAAGGCCCTTCCAGATGTATTCTGTGGTGCACACCTGCAAACAGAGTGCTGGATTCCCAGTGCGGGGAATAGAACTGCACCATCAACTGCAGAGGTGGCTCCATTTATATGGGGGTTACAGCCGTTGTGGTGGCTGGAAATGCAAACAGGCACACAACCCCCTACCCTGTGTTCTGCAAATACAGTCTTGTTATCTCTGTGTCTCTGGAAAACAAATTATCTCCAATTTTACAGTGAGAACTTGGAAAAATCCAAAGATCTGAGCGCTGGAAATGCCATCGTTTCACGTATAAGAAAATTGGTGCATCTTTGAAGGTTAAAAAGGTCCACCAAATTTACAAAACAATCAGAGCCAATTCAACACATTCCCAAGCTTTAACTCCAGGCCTCATCTCCCTGTGATTTACAACACTGTTTTGCCAACTCTGCCCCACGCTGCCCTGCGTTCTCACCCCCAGTGGTACCACACAGTGCTGATTTATGGGCTCCCCGCTCCACTGCCATGTAAAGCAATGCTGCCCATTGCAGCACTCCATCCCGTGCACAGTTCTGGGAATGGTTCCTTCCTCCCAAACACCCAAACAACATCAGGCACAGCGTGGTTCTGCTGAGCTTTACGCAGCTGAAGGTTCCCAAAAGCTCACCCAGGTGCACGTGCTGAGCAGGAAATATTTATGAGGGAGAACACAGTGGTTGCATTTACATTCCTGCTGTCCCAGTGCTGGGGCTGTGCATTGCTTTGGCTGCTGGCTCACATGGGATGCGGGCACAGCTCCCAGTGTAGGAGGGAACAACGCAGAGAAAATCATCCCCAGACCTTCTCCATCCCAAAGTGCACATCGGGGCAGACGGAGGTTTCGGAGAAGCGCCGAACTTCTCAGCAAACTCATCAGAACGTTTTGGTTTGGCATTTAGGTTATGTTCTAAATTACCAAGCATTAGCGCTTGCTAATGTCGAGGTAACAAAAATAAAAGCCGAAGCAAAGTGCTTCTGCTGAAGCTGGGATGGAATATTTCACAGAAAGGCAATATTCGGAGATTGCCGCTTCATTTAGAAACGAGCCATAACTGCTCCAGCTCCACGCAGCCATTGTGGGAAGACAATTGTCATTTCCATTCGTCTCCTCCTCCCTCAGACGCCGCAGGGTCGGCCTCGGCTCTCATGTGTTGGCAGCTGGGATGGGCACAGCACAGCAGGGAGGATGCACAGAGCTGCCCTGCACTGCAGGGGATCCCAAAGCTGCACCGCCGCCTCCTTCTGTGCTCTGCAGTTGTTGCAGTGAGGTCAGAGGATGCTGAGCCGTGTCTCAGTGCTGACCCTGCCTTTATCCCCTCCTCGACCCATCGGCCACATCTCAGCATCTCTCCGATGTCCCTAAATGACATCCCAGGGCTCAGGCAGGGAGTTGTGGCCCCAGGATTGGGCAGGAATTGGGCAAAAGCACATGGAAAAGGCACAAACAGCTCCCGGCGTCCTGCTGTTCCAAAGGGCCAGTTGTGGGGATGGAAATCTAGAGACCTATTTCCAGGAAACAGTTGGGCTCTGGCATCTCCCTGTGCCTGACCTTGGCAGCAGATGGTGGGCAGGGAGCGGGGCTTGCTGCTGCACAAGGATGGAGCTGTTAGAGCTAATGTGTGGGAAGTGGCCATTAATAAATCAGCAGCAACTTCGCAGCCATCAGAGCCTGAAATCCTCCGGGACCGAATATGGAGCAGTGGGATTTCAGGGTGATTTATTCTTGGGTTGAGGTAGGGATCGTTTGATGCTGTTACCTACAAACCCAGAAACCTCATCCCTGTGCACTCTGGGACAGCCTTGGGGCAGGAATGTGGGAGCCCATCCTTTCCCTGGCACATCCATCAACCATACAGCTCTCAGGAGCAGAGTCAAGAAGAGGAGGCACAGGAAGCAGAAACCGCCCTATAACCGAGACGTCTCTCCCTCGAAGCATCCAGCCCAGCCTCAGTAATCCCAAATCCTTGGTATTAGGCATTTAATCTCACATTTTATCATGTCCCTTCTTGCCAGGGGGCTGAAATTAAAAGGGAAGCAGGGAAGGGCTGAGCTTCGGCTGCTTTAATTGGTTCTCGCTGGCGGATGGCAGGGAAGGAAGGAGGAAGAGGTGGAAGCTCCATCACTGCTCTCCTCCTTGCAGGGATGCAGCATCAAGGGAAGGAAGAGGGCAGGGGAGGAGCGGAGCCAGCGAGCGGCTGCGTGGGGCTGTGCCAAAGAACGGGTGGAGGAGAGATTTGTTTCCATGATGCAAGCAGAGGGAGAACAGCCGAGGCAGGACATGGGAAGAGCGGGGCTGGAGGCTTCTTTGGTGCCCTGTGCTGCTGGGGGAATCTCTGCTGGGGACTGGGAGCAGGGCTGGGTCCTGCCCAGCCACACGTGCCCCATCCCAGGATGCAAAACCCCTCTTCCCTCTCTCCCTGTCGCTGTCTCTGGATGTTCCTTCTCGCTGCAGAATGTGGGTATCTCACCACTGAGCCACCTCGCTGGTCAGCCCTGCATCCTCACCATGCCACTCTCAAACAAGGCTGCTCTGGCTGATAAATGCAGATATGGAATTCTTATGGGCTGAATGAAGAACTCTTAATTGCACTTCCCTGCCACAGATGTGATGAGAGCCTGTACTGCGACCTCAGCAGAAATATCTATCAGCAACAGGCATGTACCTTCAATACACCATTTTCTAGATGAAGCCAGGCAGATCCACAGCTGATGGGACAACAGTCAAAGCACAAAACCAGAAGCTGCCATCAGTGCTTTCCCTTCCTATCAAGCCTCAACTTGAGCTGTACTCATCCAGAAAAGCAACACAGGAGCTGCATGGCAGTGCCTGGTGAAGGTCCCTGGGCTGCTGTGGGACATCAGCACTGCCAGCTTGCACACCGAGCAGAGAGATGGATTTGGGAAGAGCTGAACATGCTCAGAGAGTAATGCAATCTGTCTGCCACTTCACACAGCTCAGATGAACAGAGCTGGCAGCCACAGCTCAGCCAGGTATGAGAGCCAAAGCACTGCTCTGAGAGTCCCAGGATGGTGACAGCCTGCATAAAGGCAATGACAGCCACGAGAAGCACCGTCACTAATCCCTTTGGAGACGATTACACCACGCTGGTTTGGGGAATGGAGACGTTTTGTGGTCACCTGAAGGCTGAGCAGAGGAGGGGCAGCAGCGCAGAGCTGATGTGCTGAGCAGGGTGTTGGAAATAAGCATGAACTTGGGGGGTCCTGGAGAAAAAAAAAGGGATAACTTTCACATGTGCAACCTGACACTGTTTCCCCCCGATTAAGTTTTCAGTTAGGGCCTGGCTAATGGAAAATCCTGTAATTATTATGTTGGCATTGTGGTGTGATGGAAAATACTGTAATGAGATTAGGTATGCACTGGGCTGCTCTCTGCAGCACGGCCACGAGCACAGCTCACCCATCCCCTCCTCAGCCCTAAGCAACATTTTGGGGCTTGGGAACCTTCCCCAGAGCCCCTCACAGTGTGAGCACACATGGGGGCCTTCCTTCATGGTAAACTGAGGGCTGGAGGGAATTAAGCATGGCTCTCCAGCCACAGCTCCCAGGGGCAGATAGTTTCCAGCTTTGCCGTCCCCATCGCTGACTTCTCCTGGAGACATTTATGGTTCTGCCCGTGTTGATTCCTGTGTCCCACTGAATACTGCATGTGCTGCCATTTCCCAAGGGCTGATAGTCTGAGGAATGCTGATGCTTCGCAGGAGCTGCTAAGCAGCACCTCTTCCCTTCCCCAGCATGACTCTATGTGTGCATTTACCACTGATTATATTTGCAGGCACACTTGAGTGTGATCATTAGCTGAAAGGTGTCAAAGAGTCAATCTGGGTGGTAGAAGCATCTCTGGAAGCTGTAGTGAAGGAAGAGCAGCATTGTCACTGCTGACGCAGCACATCCAGAGCAGTGCTTCTCCACGTCCTCCATTCAGGAGATCTCAACCACGAGAAGATGGAAGCAATTATGGGGGACTGAAAAGAGGGTAAAAAGTCAAGAAATGGGAAGGACATATGCAGATCCAAAGGAGAGGTGGGGAATCCATGCAATGAGAGCAGTGACTCCCAGGAAGAAATACTCCAATAACGAGAGGGATCTCCAGCTCTGAGCTGTTCTTCTTACAGAAGTGATATGAAATTTGGGATGATTTTCTGCTGAAGAAATCAGCAGTGCAATGAAGATGTGATGAGAGCCTGTATTGTGACCTCAGCAGAAATATCTATCAGCAACAGGCACGTACCTTCAATACACCATTTTCTAGATGAAAGCAGGCAGATCCACAGCTGATGGGACAACAATCAAAGCACAAAACCAGAAGCTGCAATCAATGCTTCTCCTTCCTATCAAGCCTCAACTTGAGCAATGAAGGCTCAAGAAGACTGGGTTTCTTCCATGGCAGCAGTGCAAGTTCTTCTGGCATTAACTGCTGCAAAATAGGTTTCCTACCATCCCTGAGTGGTCCAGAAGGAGTGGATGATCTGATGAGCAAAGAGGTTCGACACCACATTAAGCAGAAACTTGGATCAGTGCTTGGAGCAGCAGGGTCTGGATAACTGTTAGGGGAATGAGGGAGGCCATGCAGGAAAGAAACTTGCTAATGGGCATCCGAGCAATTACACGTGCAGCTCTAATAGGCATGGAAATAATTAACATTCTGCCCAGGGCTCAAGCAGTGGTTCCATGAGTCCTGCAGAACCTGAGCTCCCATTTGGGTGTGGGGGTTGGGTATGGAAGCAGAAAGCAATGGCTTTTGGTGGGAGCAGGCTCAGGACACAGCTCTTATCCTTATCTGAAGCTCGTGCTCCATGCAGCAGGCAGCTCTATGCCTGCACCCATTTGAATGACACTCACCATCCCCACAGAGCACTCTCCCCCAAGAAAGGCTCAGAATGGAAAGCTCTCAAGTCCCCCAAAACCCCTTGTGGGATGTTTTCTAATGCCACCATTTCTCCATCTCCTGAAACTGGGCAGGAGTCCCACGGGATGGGGCAGGAGCCCTTGTGTCCCAAAGGGATTTGGCTGTGCCCTGGGAGGATGCTGCTGGGAGGCAGCGGGAGGTGAAGATGCCGCTTCTCTGCCTCTACAGGGCTGACCCCGCAGGATCAACGAGGCTTTGTTTTCTTTATCCCTTCCAGCAATTCATCAATTTTACTGCTAAACAAAGCCACCTCTTTGAAGGGGAGGTCTCCTATTCTAAATCTCTCTCAGGCGGAAGCAGCAGATGATCTTAACCAGACGTGGCTGCTTAAAGGGATGCAGATGCTACTGCCCTGGCGGAGCTCTGCTGGGTCCCAAGGCACCCTGAGCACACCCAGCATCACCCCCACTGCTAATTTAACACCACCCCAATATTCTGCCAGCCCTAAAGATGCCACCACAGCCCCCCCCCAGCTCCTCTGGTTGCTTCAGCAGAGATCCCACAGCCCCACCCATGGGTGCAGAGCTGATGGGAGGTGTGGGGTAGCACCCAACCAACTCCAGCTGCACCCATGGGCACTGGGAACCACAACCTCTGGATGAGATGAAATGCTGAGGAGTGGTTTCTGCTGCACTGAGAGCCTCCAGCCTGCTGGAGATTCAGTTCTTATTTGTTAGATTTTTTAGCACATTGGTACATTACACTTCTCCTGGTTAAAACTCTTTGCATACAACCAGGGCTGCTTTTATCACCTTCTGTGCAGCCAAAAACTCTCTATTTTCCCCCTCACCTCAAAGAAAACAGCTCCATCACCAGAAGCTCCACATCCAACTTCATGAAGATTTTCCACGTGTTCTGGATGCAGCAGCATCACGCAGGGCGCATCACTCCGGGTGCTTCATGTCGTCTGACTGTAACTAGATGTGAACAAGCACTGGCTTCAGGGCAAGAGGAAAGCTTCGGCTGCTCTGGCGTGGAGATAATTGCGCAAGATTAAAACACAGAGCTTGGTTCCTGCCCTGCTTACATAAAATCCTCATGCACATTTTATAAGAGAAACTGCCTGGATATAAAACACGTCTCGCACCAAAACTGATAACACAGAACAGAGCTCTGACCCAAAGCCAATGTGCTCTGTAATTGAAGGTGCCATCGGTCCTTTTCCCATCACCCAGATCACTGTGGAGCCCCAAGAATGTTGCAGAAAGCTCCAAGAGTGGCCAAGTTATACAAAGGAGGAGCAGAGTGCCACATCCTTGGGCACCCATTGGCACTCATCATCACCTGAGGCTGCAGTGTGTTGCTCCAACAGGAGCAGATCTGTCCCTCCAGCTGTGCAAGGGGAGGCAGGAACCTCTGGTTCCCTCCCAGACCCCCCTCCTCTGCTGCTGAGCTCCAGCCACTCATTAGGTGCATTCTTTCTGCACGTGGTGCACAGTGCAAGCCAAAGGAAAAATAAATCTGTTTCATGGAGGGAGAAAGGAAAAAAAAAAAAAAAGCTTCTAATTTCATGCTGCCTCTTAAATGAAGATGCTTGGGGCGTTCTGCATTGAAGGCGGAGAGCAAGGCCTTCCCCAGCCAGCAGAGATGTGCCTCAAAGAGAGGGTTTACATCAGAGCTTCTCCTCTGGTCTTTTTCAATCCCACCCCTAAGAGAGAGGAGCTTGAGGCAGTGTGAAAACCATCCAGGGAGAATCATTGAATAGTTGTGTGGTCCTGCTTGGTAACACGGAGACACAGCACAGCTTGCTGTGCTCCTGTCAGAGATAACACAACACAGAGCACATCCCTGGGTGCCCATGGAGAGGCGGAAACGCTGCTCGGGGCTGCAGGAGCAGCTGGCACTTTGCACATGGGGGAACCTCTGTAACCTGTGATGCTGCAAAAAAGCACTCACAGCACCGAAAAAGATCAGTCTGAGCCCAGCAATGGCATGAAATTGGGTTTGGAGAGACACAGTCTGAACAGGAGCTGCTCAGGTCTGCAGGGGACGTGGAGCTCCTGGTGGTGCAGTGAAACCCTCTGTGCAGAAGTTCTCAGTACATCGCCCAAGGAATGGCTGGAAATGCTCCAACAGCAAATGTGGGCATCTCCAAACAGGAAAAAATATCTTGCTTACATTAACAGTGCCTAGATGATCAACTATGTGCAGAGAAAAAAGAACTGGGGGACAATTAGTAAGCTAAAGACGTGCATGGCAGCAAGGATGTGAGAAAATATTAGGGGAAGTGACACGCAAAGCCAATAAACAACAGAGCCAGCAAATATGGGGGGAAGGACCAGTGGCCAAATGAGGAAGGAGTGCAGGAATGCAGAGCAGAGAGCTGCCTTGGGTCGAGGGGCTGAATCCACCCAGTTCTATGAGCATGTGTGGGAAGGAAAGAGCTGGTGCTCTCAAAGAAGCAATACAGACAACTCCAACAAGAGTTAAGAGTCTATTCAACGCAATCAATGCCAGAAGTAAACAACTCACATCACTCACACCTTACACCACCAATCTGCTGCTCATCCCACCACGGACAGGAGCAGAACCCAGCCCAGTGGACACTGATGCTCATGGTTCAATATGAAGCAAACAGCCCTGGCACCTGCTGCATGAGAGGTTAAAGCCACCTACATGGGAGGAAGCCAACCTAGCATCCCAAAGGCTGCATGCTACATCAGTCAGGATGCCTGCTCAGAACACAAACCCTTTAAGGGAGGCAAAGGAGCAGGACTCACACACAGCATGCAGGAGCTGTGCTGAGCAGAGCTCAGGTCAGTAGGATGCTCCTTTTCCCCACTGCTGGCTCAACCCACATCAGCCATGTTTCGTCCTTTGCAAATGTTGACACCAGCATAACAAGAAAGGAGCAGCTCAAAGGGGAACTCCCAACAACTCACCTACACAGCACAGACTGCAGGTCACACCTTCCCCTATGGGAAAACAGTGCACTTCCAGCAAAGAAATGACAAGTGAAGGTTCCAGGACTTACCTTGCTGCAGAGCTGGGCATCACAGAGCTCCTCCCAGGGCAGAGCTGTGCCAGGAGGGCAGAGACAGGCTGAGCTGCCCACCAGCATATGCAGACAGTGTGAAAATACACTCAGTCACAGCTGCAGGGTTCAGGGCAGCTAGGAGGGGTGGTAGGCTCAAAGGGCTGCATGGTGCTGATGAGAGAAGGGCAGCATATCCCTTTCAGGGCAGCTGTCTTCAATTTATAGCCAGGAGACACCTTAAAACCTTCCCATGGATGCTCAGATCCCACGACGGCAGAGGCTGCCTGCAGGACAACTCCAGCATCCAGAGAACAAACAGGTTTGGTTGCCCAACGAGAAACGTGGCTCAGAACATAAAAGTCCACGTCTGACTGAGCAGAACAACCTGCAAATGTAACCAGCCATTGGGGTGGTTAAGCACACTGCACTGTTTCCCTATCAAAAACTTGGTTAAAAAAAAAAAATCACAACCCTTCAGCTTCCATGGAGGAATTCAGGTATCAAAAGCAGTGAGACAGACAAGCACGCATTCCAGCAGAACCCAAGGGTGACTGTTAACAGAGTTTGGAGAAGCAAAACTCAGTGTTACTGAGCACACAACAAACATCCAAGCTAAGCAGACTGGGAACCCGAACACGGTAACAAAAGCAAACAAGCCGGGTTTAAATAGAAGCAAAAAAAAAAAAAAAAAAAAAGAAAAAAAGGAAAAAACTTGGAAAGGAAAACCAGTGAGAGCAAATGTTTACCCTGATGAAGGATAGTTTAGAAATTATGGCTGGATGCCAGCTTTCCAATATTTTTAGTTTGGAAAGGTCTGCTAATCTCAGGCTGCAGTGCTGTGGGTCCCTATTCTCACCCCCTTCTGCTGTTGGCTCTGTGGGGCACCAGGAACCATCAGGTCAGGGCTGCACTGCACACACATGTCTGACCATCAGGGTGAGGGTTTCCCACCACCTGATTTTGGGGGCAGGAAACCAGCCAACAGCACAGCAATTTGCAATTAATCAGCTAATTGCAATTAAAGCAGAAATCAACAAGCAGGCGAGTTAACCACCATGGTTATGGGACAGCAGGAAGAGGCACAAAACCCCTAAAGGTTCAACATTGATTCATACTGATAACAACTTGCTAATTTTAGTTAAGCACTCAGGGTTGGGAGCAGCTTTAGGATAGCGCAGTCCTGGGATGGTTTGCAACAGAAAACCGTGAGGGATTAAAATATTGTCAGCACAGGACAGGAAGGAATTTGGGGATTAGGCACAGCCTCAGCTGTGATGCTGGCCAAGGCTGTGAGCAAATCAAGGAGAGCGCAGATGCGGTGCTTTGCTCTGCCTGGTTAAAGAGATGAGAGATGGAAACCTCTGCGTTTTGGGAGGAAGGAGGAGAAGGGGCAGGAGCAGAACCCAGCCCGGAGCTCAGGAAGAACAAGTCAGGTCTGAACTTATATTAATTTTATTCTCGTTTCCAGGAGAAAGCAGTGGTGGAGTGCAGCATCACAGCTAGCGGCAGAAAGCTCAAGTATTTGTTTGCTTTAATGCAGGCAAACATTTCTGAGGCTGAATGGAGACGACGGGCGTGCGCTCCCTTCCCTGTGCACATTTCCAGTTCAAGTAATAGGAATCTCAAAAATAAGCTCTTATCACATGACGGAGAGAATGTCAGAAACTTTAAAGCTTTCTGTGGCATAAATCCCCGCGCAGGGCATGAAAGTAGCAGGCAGGAAATCTTCCACAGCTGAACTCGCTTATCCCCTGGGTTGAGAATCTTTCCTTTGGTCGGAGAACTTTGTGATGAGCGGTGCTGAGCGTTTCTGTCTGACTTTAATGCGTTACCCAGAGCTGAAATCTGCTCCTCCTGGATTACACTGCAGATCATTGGGGATGGTACAGGAAAACATTTTACCGGTGCAGTTAACAGCAGAAGAAAGGAGAAACATTTGGTCATTTTGGATCTCTGAAACACACTCAGGAAATAAGATCCGTTTCCACTGAGACAGCAGAGCTCTCAATTGCACTGCTGGGCCTTGGGAAGCTGTCACAGCCCTGGGTGGCTTTAAGTAATGCACTTCCAAGTGACTGCTGGGTTCAGCTGGGGCAGCAGCAGGCTTGTGCTTTGCAGACTGAGAGCCTCCTCCACCAGGTTGGCATTGACCAGTTTTCAGCTTCGTGCAACACAGAGCTACGACTTTTGGCTTTCTGCTTCAAAGTGCATGTTTCAAATTAGACAACAAGGCGTTATGCAATCAAAGGCATCTGCAGACCCCTTGCCTAGGCACAGAACGTGATCAGGGCTGGGAAAAGGCAGAGCCTGGCTACAGAACCAAGCTGCTGGGCCGCACGTGAAAGCGGAGCTCCCTGATGTAAGCGAGATGCCATCAGCAGTCACTGAGTTCCTAAGGCAAGCAGCAAAGCTGGGGCTCAAAGAGGACTTGTTTTGGTTTTTCTTAGTCTTGTAAGAATTAGGGAATTTTCTGTGTGCCCATGGAGACACTGGGAATCGCTGCAGTACTGTGAAGTTGTCTGATTTTATGAGAATCTAGCTATATTTGGAAAGAGACCCAGCAATAGATGAGTGCACATTCTTGCTTGCTCTGCAAAGACAATTACTGGATTACAAAAAAAGGCACAAGCAGCACACATTCCTCCTTCTTCTATCCCTAAAAGGTTTCCTCCTTCCTCCTCACTCCGAGCACTACTACTGCTGTCACTGAACAAACTCCAAGTACACATTTTCATCCTTGATCCAGCTGGCTTGGAAGCCTCTAGGATTTAAGATCTCTCTTCTGTTTGAGTAATTTCAGTGACTAGAATCTCATTGCTTGCTTCACCAATTCTCTTCATCCTCTGTCTATATATAGTCAAGGAGATGAAATAATATTACATTTAGTTTTATTGCTGGAAGCAATCTGCTGTCCCTCAATGCAGTTTCCCAAAGGAAGGAGGTGAAACAGAAGATTCAGCAGGACGTGCTGACTACAAACAAGAACAAGGTAGAATTGCACACATTCCAGCTGGCTGGCTGTTACAGAGGAGGAAAACAGAGCACAGAAAGGCTGAGGTTATTTAGCCAGGAACAGAACAGGCCAGCTAACAATCCTCTGCTCTAGTTGTCACAAAACAGCTCTGCTTTGCCTGGAAGGTGAGCTGTGTCAGAGCCCAGGATGTGTCACTCGAGGCTTCACAGAGATCTGGGATGCAAAGAGTGGGACAAAGGAATGGGACTCTGCTGAACATCCTGGTTATGACACCATAAATTCACTTAAATAAACTGATGTCGTCTCATCCCTGTCGCTGCATTAAAATACAAGACTCCCCTGCAGTTGCATGGCTGATAATTGATGTTTCAGCTACTAAATACCCCACCACTCCTATGTCTTCGCAGTGGAAGGCTAAAAATCCTTAATGTTTTATACAAAAATAGAAGGCATGGAGATAAATTGCTCTATATACGATTAATCCAGGACCAAATGTATTCAGCAGCATGGATTCTACTCTATTTACAGTTTTAAGAAACTTACTATCTTAAGAATGTTATGAGGACCTTCTCAGGTGCTGGGAAGGACGTGGAGAGATCAGGGACTGCTACATGTTCATAGAAGCACACTCAGAATTCCAGCACAGCAGAAATACCAGCACACCCCTCTGCCATGTAAGCACAGGTTGCCACCTGCACATGCAGGAACAGAGCCACAAGCTTTGCTTTCTCCCTGACACAGACCAGCAAATCTCTTTTGAGAAGCACTTCTCACCTTGCTTTGCTGGCTGTTCAGACTGATTCCCCTCCAGGCAAACCTGCCCATGTGCTCTTCCCATCTCACTGCCAGAGATGCTGAGGACCAATGTCCACCTGCAGGCTGAATATGCCGAAGCACTGAAGCGTTCACAGGTTTTGAACAGGTTTGAAAATAAAAGGAAATTGTTTCTAGGAACTCTGTGTGCATCTGTATGCATATGCTGTTCACTGTGGGGTTTTCAGCTCCCATTCCTGGCATTTGGTTGGCTGTGAAGGCAGCCTGGACAAACTCATCACACTACCAGGTGCTCCTGACTGTGTTATTTTGCCATAAGATGATCATAGTCCAGATAGCAGTTGCACAAAAGCACTGGTGGGAGAAATACAGATAGAATATTTGTGTCCTGTGGGAGATAACTACAGGAGAGATCTTTGCCTACCCAAAATCTATCCAAACAGGGCCTTCTTCCAACTGCCTGGCAGCACAAACGACAAAGGTTTGCTTGTTATCAGAGCCACCACTGATGGAAACTCTTTGCCCATGGTGCACTACAGTTGTGGTGGAAGCAGCCCAGTAACCAACAATGGGGTTTAGAACAACCAATATCAGCACGAGAAACTGGAACTTAAAAATCAGTTGTGGAAAGGTCAGCTCCCGAATCACAGCACTGAAGGATACAGATGAGCTGCTCTGAAGCTCACCCATTTTCTTACTCTCTCTTCTTCCGAGCTCTCATACACACATCTGTTAAGCATGCTGGTGATAACTCAGTCTCTTTCAGGCACTCTCATGGGACACAGCAGACTTTGTACTCACATCTGTCTTCTTGCTATTGCAGCTCCACCACTGTTACCCTGGATTCCCCTTATAACCGGAGGTTTCTTCTAGATCTCAAAAAGAGATTGATATATCAAAACCAAATTCAATTACAAAATATAATAACCTCTTCTTGGAAGTGAAGCTGCCCCATATTCCAGACTGTGGCAGGATTTTTATGTCCTAAAAATATTTTTTAATAAGTTCTACTTAAAATATATCTGAGTTGCAGCCTGCCTCATGGGCATGCTGTAATGCTCTCAGTGAAGATCTGCTCCCTGTCAGTTCCTCCTGGGCTCCAGGGAAGGGCTCTTCTCACTCTTCTTCTGCAGACTTGAGCATGAGAATGGCATTGTAGACCTTCAGGGCAGGACCCAGTTTGATATTGAGTATTTTAACCAAGTCATTCTGGTTCAGGAGCAGGAAGGCCTCACCATCTATCTGCTAGAGGTGTAAAAACACAACAGAAGATAAAAATTACAATCAAGAAATAAGCAGGATTCTTACTTCTGGTTGTTCAGTTAAACAATGTAGTGAGGAATGAAAATACAGACACAGCCCTGAGGATGGAAACCTTATTCTTCTCTCTAGTTTTGGCACCCACACCAGCCTGCGATTCCCAAGCATGCTGCCCTTCCCAGGGGTCTCAGGCCTACCCCTGAAGCCTGAAAAGTCAGAGTGTGGACAAAACTCACTGGGAACTAATGAGGATGAGGCTCATCCATTTGACTTTCTATTCACTATAAGGATACTTACCCTAAAAAGCCAACAACTGTCAAAAATCCCGCAGCCTAGTTCCAATCTGTGGCAAAAAATTAGATCAGGAAATGCAAGCCTTCAGGAGGCAGCTATCCAAGAATTAATACATTACACTCATCTACAGCAATTAGAAGCAGCACATCACCATTTCTTAGCACACTCATTACATACTGTCATTGCACAGCTTCTCAGACTCCTGTTAAGCAGCTCAAGGTGAAGTTTTGCTGCTTCTTTGGTCAGCTTTGCTAGAAACTTTGCAGATGAGAAGAACTGGACAGATGTGAACAGATGTGAACAGGCTGCTCTCAGAACCAGCACTCTGCCCACAGACACTTGGTCTCCATTTAAAGGAGTAGCAGGAGGCTATTAGGAAATAGCTTTCGATGGCACTAAATGGGCTTGTTCAGAACAAGGTAAAGGAGATGGTGTGTTATATAAAACAGGGCACAATAAAGCCATGGAATCTGTCTGGATTTACACACATACTCTCCTAATCCGTCAGCAAGGAGACATCCAATCAGATTCAAAGCAAGCAATCTAAAACTGTATTACCTTGTGAAAATAAGTGGAGCTCTAGGTACCAGAGAGTAACAAAGTATGATTTTAAGAAGAGGTTAAAAATCTATTTTGGTTCACAAAAGCATCCACAGAGACAACGGATATAATTAATATAAACCCCAAATGCTGCAGAGAAGAAGCCAAAGATTAATGGACACAGACAAACAGTGCATGTCTAAGTTATTCCATTAAAGTGCATTTACAGAGACTGACAGCATCTCCTCCTCTCACTTGATGCTCACCAGCACAGTGGACAATGCCAGACACTGGGCCTAACCAGAACAACAATCCTTCTGTCCCTGCACTTTTCCTAACTGGAATTCTTCTCAATGTCAACAACTGGTAGAAAAGGATACACTCAGTAAACTTGGACAAACATAGCCATAAGGCAAAGAGCTGGGAGACAGGAATTTGGGCTGCCCCTCTCTAACCTCAAGGAGACTGCTGAGCAAGTAAAGTTCTTTTACTTCCCAGTCTGCACACTGGAAATGATAGCAAGGCTTCCAGCACAGCCAGCCACATTTCATTGAATCCTACCTGCAAGCTGCTGCAAGGCCCATGGTAAAAATAGCCTGAAATAAATGGACTGCTGCTTAAACTAAATAAAAAGAATCAAGAGAAGGAGAAAACTGCTGAAAAACAATCTAACATTTTAAAGTGCTTTTGAGTCCAATATTATCATTACATTTCACTTTCACTGCATCGCCTCAACGATGTTTGTTTTAAACAGACCTTCCCTGAGCTGGTCCTAGAAATGAGTGCAGTATCACTGCCTGTGGTTTTTGTTCCATCTTATTTGGATGGTTTTTCAAATTCTGTGCACAATTTGTTCTCTTCATTTGTAACGTAAGCAGGAACTCATCCTCCTCCCTCCTGCCAACAGGAGTCTGCAAGGGATTTATTTCTCCTGAACGGAGAGCACTCAAAGGCCTGATTACAGTAATGGACAACCCTGGTGAAGCCCAGCAGTGCTGTCGCTCACACCTGAATTTTGGCCAGAGCCAAACTGCTAAAAGGGTTTTAAATTTACACTGACAGTTTAGTTCCAGCACAAACCTGAAAAACAATCCAAGCCTCTCTCGTTTGGCACAGAGAACCACACTTTGAGACTGCAGAAGGTATTAAAATAGAACATGGCTGTGCTGCTCTCTGAACTAGAAAACAGCCACCGTGTTCAGGATCCATTTCAATTATTACTAGAAGAAACAAAACAAATTGTAAATGGTTGGATCCATTAGTAGACTTACACCTCACCAAGCCCTCAACTCTGAACTCATCTTTGCTAGAAATCAGGATGTATCTTTTACACCCAGCTATGCTGAAGGACTGCTTTATTGGGAGAAATTTCATCGTTCCCACTGTATTCAATTAAATGATATTCCACTACACTGTGAACAAGCATCAATTCATTTTGCTTTTTATTTTGTGTGTATGTTTTAAAATAAGGGAAAGCAAAATACAGGGACGTAAATCCCATAAAATGCACTCCAGCCTGATTCATCCTGAAAGAAAGCCAGCTCTGGGGAGCAGTCATCTATTACAAACCTGTCCTTTGCAGCCACTCCACTATGCAGTGCTCCTCAGCACACAGGGTGCACTAAGTGCCTTGCAGAATGCAGGGAAGGTCCAGCCCCTTCCCTCAAGCTCTTACAATCAGAGCAACAGAAGGGGAGGCATGTCTGTGCAAATTAATCACGGCCTTATAAAGAACCTCCAAACCATCCCTGCCACGTAACTGGAAGCCAAAGCTCTCAATAGAGCCTAAGCGTCACAGGATCAGTGAAAAGGAACGGGGCAGCCACATCCTGCACTGCTGGGATTTCTGAGAAGCCATGGGGAATGCACCATAGACAGGGAACAGAGCCCAGCACAGGGCAGTGACAGGATGTGTTGCAGGCAGGAGATGCTCTGACTCCCCAGCAATTGCTTGTTCAAGGATAGCTCCCCCTCCTGCTCCCACAGGAGAAGCCAGGGATTCCTAAGAAGCCCTCTGACTGCCAGCCTGCCCAAGAGAAGCAGGCATATGTTCTTGTTAGAGGGAGCAGATGAGATCTTTGCTACGCCATTCCAACAGGACATCTTTATAGTGATGCCAAAAACACTAGACAATAGTCCAAGACAGGATGTTAAGCATAAGCTTAGTGATTGGAACGGGAGGGGAAATTTAAAGCAGCAGAATGCAATTAACCACACTGGGATTCAGCTCAATGCTGAAGCTGTCTCCTAAATGCTACAGGCTAATGACAAGGCTGAGCATGTCTGTGCAGTCAGCACTGTAACTGCAGAGCAGCAGGGGTACAAAACCACCCAGCTCACAGCACAGATTGGGGCAGACCTGAGAACTTACCTCTTCCCTGAACACAGCTGCTTGTTCTTTGCAACCAGGTAAACGCTGGATAAAGTTCACCACCTACAATCAGATTTACAAGAAGAGAAACAAGGATGATTAGAATGATGATCAAGTACCAAGCATCTTATTTCTGTATGCAAGAATTTTTACAACTTTAATGCTTATAACTCTACTGTTAATGAAGGTTATATACAAGAAATAACAATGGGGTGTTGCTACAGCATGCCTGTAAAGCTTATTCTGGTCACAAATAGTATTCTCCATATTGCAATTTGACCACTTCTCTAAGAGTTCAGTTTCTCCACTGCTTAAAAAGGTCCTTATAAAACACCAGTCATATTAAAAACTGTATACAGCCATACATTATTTTAAATCCCTCCACAACTTTCCTTCCTCTACGGTTTTGTCAGAAGATAAAATTAAAAAGAAGGATTTAGATGATTTCCCATCGTGACATCCTTTTCAGAGATGACATAAATCAACCAAATGAGTACCCCTGGTTTATTAACACACAGAAGGCAGAAAAGCAAGGAAAGAAGGAAGTTGTGGTTTTATTTAATGCATGGTGGATGCAGAGGATCCACAGAACCAACACGATTAAACGAGTTAATTTTATATTTCATATTAGGGAAAACCTTTCTAAGCAGGAAATCTGTTAACATTTGGAATAATCTCCTCTGAGACATGCAAGCAAGCCTTGGATTATATTATATAACACTACATAATGCAAGCAGCAATCCCGAATGCAGTGGAGGATGACTTAATACGTATTGTCTTCTCCATCTGCAGCTTCACTGGTTCACAGAAGATTTGTATATTGAGGCATAATCAGATCAAACGTTTCATGCTAATTGGATGCTCCCTTGCAGGAACAGCTCTGTTTCATGAAACATATTCACTTGAGTTATTACAGATGTGACATTTCTTCCATGAACGCAAACAGACAAACAGTTTTGGGGGGGGTCTTTGTCAAAGATGAGCTTCCCTTTAAATCACAGTTGTCAAACTCCCCCCTAAATCACATCACTGTGTCTCCAGCTGATCCCACTGCTGACCTGGGTCCTTCCGAACACAGCAGCAAGCTCTTAGCTTGCCCCCAGCTGTGCTCTGCCCTGGCAGAGCTGCTTTTTGGTGAGCATCACTGACCCCTGTTGCTTCTGTTATGCAATCTGAGAGCAGAGCCCTTCTCTCATCTCGTTGTGCCAGGAGGGAAAGCTCCATCTTAAAGAGAACCCCTAAAATCCACAGCTCCGTCATGCACTGATTCCAAAGCAGAAGTGCAATCTCCTACTGCAAACAAATAATAAAATAATACTTTCCCTGTATCCCCTTATAATAATAATAAAAAAAAGAAATACTTCTGCAGGGCTGCCATCTCCCAGAACATTAAGTGGCAGTTGGAACCTTGAGAGCAAGGCAGTGAATGTCCCTCAGGGCCTGTGGCACTCACAGGCTGGCAGAGATCTCAGGGGAAAGCTCTGAGTTTGTCTTGCTCTTGTGTCCTTCCCTGGACATCTGCTGCTGGCCACTGTCATGGATGGTGTGATGGCCTTTGATCTGCCCCAAAAGTCACTTGTATGTACACAGCCAGCACCCTGCTCCACAGCAGTGGTCTTTTAAACATACAGAACCCTGGGGCTTGCCAGAAACTGAGATAACAAAAGGAGGAGGAGGATGCAAGATAAGCATGCAGGAGAGATGGATCCCAGGGTGTGAGCCAAAACAAAGCAGCGTGACGAGTTGGAACGAACTTGTCTGGACCTTTAAGTAGCTTAACAGTGATGGCAGGGAAGCATTTCCCCAGGGAAAGGGTGAGGATGGTAGGAGATGGGGCAGATCAGGGCCTTTCCTTTGAGAACTTCAACAGTTCCTTATTGATTCTGCTAGTAAAAGTCTCCACTGATAATCTCACAAATCCCTCTGGTGGCAGTGCCTTACTGCACATTTGCTGAGGGAAGAGAAACTGCTCTGTGTAATTCTGAGAGCACCTTTAACAGTTCCATGCAAAAGAGATGCTAAGATAATCCCAGATTCATGAGATATATTGAAATTGGCACAGTATTGATGTGTCCTTCTGGTAAAACTGGAAGGCAGTCTCATCAGCACCCATTTGGTATCAAGCTATAGCAGCCCTGATGCTATGCAGTAACCCACAAGCCAGTAGCACAAGTACAGTCCCCCTACAAAATAATACCCTCTGACTCAGGATTAACTACTGAACAATTCAGCTCTGGCACATATTAAAGTTCTTCCACGATCCCTCACTTGCTGTGCTTTGAAAAAACATAGGAAGCTTTCAATAACTAACAAAGCTGCATTACAGTAACTCTGCCTGTTGACTGCTCAGTGTTACCAAGAGTTTCTTAGCTTGAGGGCCTCCAAATATTGCTGCTGCTCTGCCCCTTCAGCTGCTCCCAACCCAACAAAGATTTAAAGCAAGATTTTTTCCTTAATGTGGGTTTTGTAAAAGCAGTTATTCAGTCTGAAACTGAAAGAGAGTACAACACTCCCATTGCTCTTGTTTCAGATCAACGGAACGGGCTCCTTTGTGCAACTGAGTTCAAAGTACAACCCATAGGCAAATGTTTGCCCTGTAGGAAGATGTTAGGAGCCCAAACAGTGACACATCCAATCTACTTTGGACTCACTAGAACACAGGAAGTCCTACTGCATTCATCTTCCAGAGCTTGTGGCTACGCTGCCCTGCACAAAGTGATCCTTCAAGTGCTCAGAGAGAAGCCAAATTGATTCCTATGGGAATCTACAAAGAGCACAATTTGCTGAAACCAATCCACTTTACTGAAATGCAAGACAGAATCCATCATGACTTCAGCCAGTGTGGTGCTGCAGCTGATCTTTTTAACACTCCATTCACACTCCCACTGGTAGCCAACACTCCATCAGTTGTTTCAGGCAGTTCACCGTGTTCTGAGTTTTGAATCACAACATCCAGAGTGCACTGTAGTGGTTGCTACTTACATTAATCTGTTATCAAACTAATATCCTAGCTAAATTTACCCAGCAGTTGCTTTAAAGGTCAACTGTAAAGGACAAATTTTATTGGCTTGTATCCTGACTCTGTTCTTCCATGAACCAACCTCCATGTTTTGTCCAAAAGAAGGAGATTCTGATTGTTTTCATGCCAGAGGATTAGCTGCTTCTGTCTTTATTGATTTATTAAAAGACCTTTTGGGAAAAAAAAAAAACACAACAATGGGAGCTTTTTCTAAAGAAGGATACAAATAGAAAATCTCTCAGATTTTTTTTTGTCTCCTTGCTAAGCAATTTAATTTAAGCTCATTTTCATTAAAACACAAAAGAAAGGAATATTAAAAGGACCATTTTTTAAAACAGCCCTACTAATTATTCTATCCCCTTCCCGTTTGCTGTGGTTCCTGTCCCTGTGGTCAGTCCCACCACACTCCAAGCAGTCCTCCAGCATGAACAGCAAAGTCAGGATTGGTTTCTCTGACAAAGAGGTACTCAGGGAAGATGCACTTTCTGAAAGTCTCTGAAGAGCCTCTATGCATCATGAAGAACAGCACCCTTCTCCTGCTTTGCAGATTATCTCCTATCTTGTCAGCACAACATTACAGCACGCTTCTCTTGAATTAAATGGCCTGTGATTAAGAGCCAGGATCCAAATTGTCATCACTTCCCAAGTGGAGATGCAAATATTATTTACGCCCAAGGCACCAAGTAAAAAAAAAACAACTACTCAGCACACAAAAGACAGCAGCTTTTTCACATGCCACCTAATTACAGGAGACATCTCAAGAGCTGGGACTGCAGACTTATCCCCAGCCACACAGCTGCCTCTGCCAGAAATCAGGTCAGGCTGTGGGCAGTTTGTTCCAGGGAAACAGGCAGGGAGATGCGGGAGGAGTAGGCATGCACAGTGCAGTTTGGGATTATCTGCAATATAAAAGTGAATCAGCAGCAAAGTCACAGGAGAAGGGGAGGGAGATCAGAGAGAAACAAAGTCAGATGTAAGAACGGTGCTTCGGGGCTGAGGACTGAAAGATAAAGGGGAAAATAAACAAAGAGAATTGCATTCACAGAAGTAAGGCATGGACATCAAATGGTTAACAGAGATCCTTCCCCTTCCTTTATAAAGGGACTTGGGTATAACTTTTAGCTGAGTTAGCTACGGCATATGCAAAGCAAACAAAAAAGCATTACCTAGGAAGAAAAAAAGATGTTTTCCAATTAGCACTCCAGAAAAGGGGGGCCCTGGGACCCCCCGCAGCCAGGAGCAGAGAGGAAGCAGGAAACTCACCTCTTCCACAGTCCACTTAGACACATGTTTGGCTGTGAGGCCTGAGACCTCCGGCAAGAGCCTGCAGTGCTGCTCCCAGCAGAGATGGAGGCGGTGGCTGGGGTTAGAGTCCAGGGCAGGCATGAAGATGGACTGGTGGAGGGCCTGCTGGAGGTTGAAATCGAGGTCTGTAAAGAAAACGAGACAAGTCAGAACAAGCTTTCAAGGAGCAATTATGGAGGAGAAGGAAGGGTCACAGTTTGGAGGGAAAAGCAAGGCAGGGCACACAGACAGCCAGGCACTGCTACTGCATGGCACAGTGTGTTCTCAGGGCATGCTCCCCCACCCTCCTGAGAAAGAGAAACAAACAAACAAACAAGATAAGATTGCCAGGCTGGATATCGTTAGCTTCTTCCCAGGAAAATGATGTCACGCTGCTAACACAGAAGATGCTTGCAGCGTTTTATTGACAAGGTGGAGGAGTTCTGGTAACAGCATCTTCGGCTGGAAACTAATGGCACTGCCCCAGCTGCTGGCAGCCTGTGAGGAGTGAGGTGTGTGCAGCTGATGGCCTGGGCTCGCTGCCTCCCCAGGAGAATGCCAGGCAAGGAGTGCTGCATGTTACCTCCAGACATCAGTTCCCTTGTGCATCCAGTGATGGAAGCTTTAAAAATCAAAGAGGGGGAAAAGAAAAAAAAAGAGAGAGAGAGAAGAAATCACCCCTCCCTGATGAGATCACTTGAGTAGTGCAGAGTCATGGTCCTACAGGGATTTGCCCAGTTATACAACAGGAAGTGAAGCAGAGGATGGAAATAACAGGGAACACACTCCTCTGGTTCACAACAGCATTATGCTTGGTCACATTAAAGGCAGAGGCTGGCCTGGCACACAGTTGTTACTCTTCTGTCTCCAGCTGTGTCACCTTACCTTCATCTCCACCTCCCTAAGCAATGTAGGATGCCATCAAACATAGGTCTCTATTGCTAATAATGAGACCAGAGTGAGGGGTTAAAAACACACATATAAAGCCTAAGTAAGAAATGCTCTTCAAATGGGATGGAAGCTGTGTGCAATCATGAAATTACAGGTCAGTGGATTACTGCAGAATTTCTCTCCACTGATTTCCATCACTCTGCTTAAGGTGAATGCGACAGGAAAGCAGACAGCTTTCCCTGCCAACTGCAACTGCAGCTCAGAGCTGGCAGACTTCTCCAACTGCAGAAGTCAGCACTAGGTAAAAATGAATTAAAAAAAAGCCAGGCACCTGTCCCAGTTTGTGCCTGCTTAGCTATTTTTGATTGGAGTCTATTACCATGTTAAATCCTCCTAAAAGCCTGGTCAGCTTGGTTCTCTGAAATGGCTTTTTATAGTAAATCTGAAAGTTAAGCATATGGTTTGCTAAAGTGATATCAGAAAGCTTCTCTTCAAACTTAACCTGTCAAGTACCAGAATAAAAAAGACATTATTTTTTCCATTTGGATTTTTATTTTCTTTTTCATCCTAAAGAGAATCTTTCAAAAGTCACCCCAAATGATTCTGTTTTTCTGGATACCTGCAGAAAGAAGTTGATGAAACTCAGCAACCACCTGATAGGTTTGGGTTGTGTCTGCAGAATGGTCGTGGAATGGGGAACAGCCTCCCCTTGCCACTTCAGGAGAACAAGCAATGCTACAGGAGATGGTGAAAGCTCAATTAATAAATACAAAACTTCACAAGGTGTTTAACCTTACACTTCTAGGCGATTTTACCCTTCTTCCTCATTTCAAAGGAAGAAGGACAACCACCATCATCATCTCCAAGCATGCATTCTCTTGATTGTGGAATCAACAACAACAAAAAATCTGTTAAGTTATAAATGATCCTCACAGGTCTGGTATTTTGCACATGCACACACATAGATAAATAAAAACCAACCAACCTTTCCCGTTGTTTTCCTGTTTCACCAGCTGCAACTTTATGTAGGCATGTGAGCATCCAAGCCTGAAACATCAATTACAAAACATCTCAAATGATAACACAAACTGGTGCAACTGCTCCTCTATACAAATTGACTAATGGGGTATTTAGGAACTAGAACATTCTCCCTCTTACAGTCAGCAACAGAATTTCTTTGTCCCTGGCTTCTCCTCTCTAAACTAAGAACTGTGATATTAAATCCATACCTACAAGTCAGAATTGAGTTCGCTGTGGGAAAGAAAGCCCCCAAATTAGTGTGAGGAAAGAAGACTTAACAAGCAATTCTAAAACTCTATGCTGTATATCTCCAATCAATCAAACTGAGTTGTTCTAAGCTCCTGATTAACACCTGTATTTCAGATATCGCAGCAGCATCAAGAAACACAACTCTGAATCCACAAAAACACATCACAAAAATCCTATTTACTTTTTGGGTTTGGCTTTGATGTTTCCAGAGGGTTTCTCTTCTATCCTGTCTTTTGCTTCATTGCTTTCAGACTGCTCTGATGGACTCTGAATGCTGCTTGGACATGACTTTTCACTCTCTTGTGCAGATTTCCTGGAGAGACAGACAAATGATAGGAGCTAAGCTGACATTCTCAGTTCCCTTTTCCCAGAAGAGAGCATAAACTGGCAAATGAGAGTAACAAGTACCACCTAGTGGTGAAAGCTCTCCTCTCCCCTACCATCCTTACTGCTGCAGCCCAAAGCGCTGTTTTACTCTTTAGCAGAGATTGAGACACATTATATGAAATAATCAGTCCATGTGGACAAAGGCTGCAATCCCAGCAGCTACAGGAAGCCCACTGAAACCGATTTAGGATTTATGAACCCTGGATAACATTTAAGACAACTTACATGAGTGAGTTTGTTGCTACACAGTCGCCCAAAGAAGGATGAACAGCTGTAATACCTGCATGACGAATTCAAACCTCCCACTATCAGGAAATGAACTACTCAGAAGAATGTAAAAATAATACAATTTTACAATGATACTGGTTCTGAGAGAATCTGAAAACTCTTGAGGGAACGTTATGGCAATGGTGCCATTGAAATGCAATCGATTTTGCTATCAAGAGTAACAAAAGGAGACCCCTGCATGGTACTGGTATGAAAGGAAGCAAAATTTGACCACATGCACATTGGGACTGAGAAGCATTCCTTTTGCCTGAACAAATATACCGAATATATACTGAAAATGTTATAAATTTAAGCAAAGCAAAGAAGCCCTAAAATGCACGTAAGCCTTAATACACAAAAAAAGGCCCAAAGTAGCACTGGAGATTGCCCTGGTGAGACTTTAATTCCTACAGCCTAAAAGTGACAATAATGAAAGCCTTTATGTCCAGATTTCTCCCATGACAGACTAACTGCTTCCTGCAGTTCAGAAGCCAAAACATGGTTTGTCTCAATGATACTCAATTCCAAAATTATTGTAAGAAAATAAAATATCTGAAGGGGCTCAATTTATTTGCCAAGTGATACATATAGAGTCATTACACCTACCACTGTAACGCGACCGGCGCTGAGGTGGATTGCAGTTAGGATTTAATAGTGCAAAATAATCTTGCCTGACAGTTTTAGGACAGGAAATGAAGAAAAAGAATATATTTTAAATTGAAACAGCAAGAAAAAAAAAAATTATGGAGACAGAATGCAATTTCCTTTGTTGGAATGTGACCAGAGCAGCAGGATTAAGGAATCAAAAAACCTATTAAGGCACATGAGGGTATAAAAGTACACTGCTCTGTGTTAAGAGTGTGTGGAGCATGGGCCAATATTACAGAAAGATGAACTGAATGCACTACTGATTCAATTCCTGTGTTTTTCAGCCTTGTAAAATGGTATTGCTCTGCAGTGTGTCTGGGAAATGGGCTCAGCTCACCTGGATTGTGGAGAGTCCTCCTGAGAAGACTCTCCTGCTCTGAGCAGAACTTGGGCAGGGGTCTCCAGCCTCTTTGCTTTCTGTAGGCTGCTGCTGGGGGAAGGCCTCTCCCCACCCAGGCGGTCCTGTAACACGTTTTCTTTGTTGAGGTTCACATCAGAATATGGGCAGCCAACTAATCTGTGTTAAGAAAAAAAAAAGAGAGAGAGAAGTTATGATGCATGTTCCTGTGTTCCTAAGTCATAGTCTTAGCAGCCTCAGGCTGATACAACCATGAACAAACCCAGAAAAAGTCAGGCCTAAAACTCATCCAGATGAAGACATTATTACCCAGTTTTAGGTATGGGAAAGCAGAGAACCAAGTGGTAGACCTGGAAACTGAATTTATGTTTTTGAAGAATCATCCTAGAGAATAACAGGAGATCTTCCTGTGCTGCCTGCTTGTCTGAACAACATTTCATGAAATAGTAACTGTTTGAAGCTCTTTATCACATTAAGTACTACTGGATCCCCAGACCTCCCACCTGAGATTGTTTTCTTGCTCTGTAAAGAGGTTTAATCAAGAAAAACTCTCCTTTTCCAAGAACACATAAGAAACCAAAGATAAACCTGTCATCCGAAAGCCAGGAGGAAAACCCTCTGACTCCAATGTGATGTTAGAAACCACAAAACATGAGCTCTCTCCTCACTCTTATGCTCTAGTAATATACCAGCACTCTCTTCTTCTATAGCTATTGCCTTGCAATATTCTTGGGCACATTATTTTACATAAGTAATTCCTTCAGTGATGCTGGAATGTAGAAATTGGAGCGAATTAATCTATGCTATGTTGTATTGCAGTTGGAACAAACATGCTGCTATAAACTAAATTTATGGTGGTACAGCTCATTTAGGCACAAGAGGGAGCTGCAATTACACTAATAGCTGTCTCCAGAACACCCTGTGATAATTTCAGTGCAGTGCAGGTGCTTGTTGCTGCATTATTATTACAGACAACACTCAGATGCTCCCAGACAGAACCCTCAGAAGATCTCAGATACGTACGTATAATGTGTTCCATATCGTGGCCCCCTGACATGACCAATCCCATGACAGCCTGGAGTGGGACACGTTTGTCCCACTGTCCCCACAGGATCAACAGCACCTGGAGAATAAAATACAAAGGTAAAGAGATTTGTGAAAAGCTTCCTATCTCTGAAAAGAAGGCTGCATTTGGGGAAAATTATTCATCAACAATGATATGGTATCATCTATATTACCTAGAGGGACTTGCAAAGCGTGTCCAGTTTTTGCACACCAGCCTACTGGATGAACATCAGGGCTGTCTGCATCGACCCAGAAATCATAGTTACAGTCCCAGCCATCAAAATGTATCTAAAAGAAGCACAGTCTCAGTGAGAGATACAGTTAAGGATATGACTCAGCTGTTATTTTAACTTCCCCTTTTGTTTCACCTTGCTCAGCTTGGAGCTGATTCACTCCATCTTTCAGTCAAGCACAACCATCCTTTGCGTTCAATTTGTTTTCCTGTCCCCTCTGTCTACCTTTTACAGAAGCACCACATTCTGGTGACACTGTCAAATCACAAGGTCTGCAAGAAAGCACAGACCATGGGGTGCTCCAGGGCACTGCACTCCACTCAAGTCTAAATTTATGCAAACATAACAGTTTTTTTTAATTGTCTTATTTGCTACAAATCCCAAAACATCACAAACTTGGCACCTTTTGCAGTGAAAAACTAGAATTTTCTGCTGGATGAAGGGATGAGTAATAGCTGGTTTGGAGCCAGGTTAGGCAAACAGAGACTAAGAATCACTGCTATTTAAAGGCTGTTGGGCTGTTAATAAGGCAAAGTTTCAAAGCAAGGTATAAACTGAACATCTTGCCTCTAGACTCTGACAAAACTCAACTTTTGCTTACAACCATATGATGAGATTGAGAATCAAATGAGCAAGGGAAAGCAAATGCCCCTGCTGCCCATGGGAGCATCCTTTAGGAAGGACTCCTGTAGCCAAGAAGCCCCCATCAGTGCAGCTTACACTTCAGCCAACTGATATTTAATTTCTCATAAACAAAAGCACAAGAGACTCTCCTGGCAGCACATTAATATGAAAACAACCAGTTACATTGCACCTATGCAACAAATTCATACTGGTGCATAAAGTCACCTCCCAAATGGGCCAGGATTTAACTTGCTTTAGGATTTCCCTTAAGTGTGTTAGGAAAAAAAAAATAAAAATCAGGTAGCTTCCCACCAGCAGAACGTTACTGCTACCTTCATTCGTGCAGTTCACAGATGGAAAACTGTTCTGTCAAATCTTATTTCAAAACAGTTACACTAAAACAGTAACTAACAATACCAGGTAATTCCGTTACATTTCAATGGGACAAAACAACAGAAATCATTTCCAACTGGGCACTCCTGTAGGCTAGATTGCCTGCAAAGCATTTGTTTGCTGCTCCTCACATCAAATGGGTAATTTTTTCTGTACTGCCAATCACTGCATTCCTCAGCACAAGGGCTCTGCCCTTCAAAGCAAGGTCATACCTTAATACGATGGTCATCTCTGTCACTTATGGTTGCCACTCTTATCAAGATGGGATTTCTTTTGTCTACAGCCTCCAACTTCATATTTACTTGAAATCCGTGAGCAGGACGCTGTAAGATAAGATTGTAAGCAGAATACTAAGAAGTGAAGGCAGTTGCAACTAGTCACCTTCTCTGAATAAAACGTACTTAGTTTTTCATCTACCATTCAAGTGCTTTTGCAGCTTTTGCCCCCATCTCGTCTGGCAGACTATTTCAGAGGTTAAAATCAGAGTTTTCTAAGAAAATAAATTGTCCATTTGTCAGCAGCCCAAAAATACTCGAGGAGAAACCTGAACTTCCCAGAGCAGAGCAGCATCTCAGTCAGACTGAGAGCTCTTCTCTGACAGAATAAAAAAGCCCAAATACGACCAGAAACTCCACTGACAGACAGACTGAACAGTCTGACAGGAAAACTGCTCAACACAGCAGAGATTACCCCTCACCTGACAAGGACACCAGCCAGCTTGCTGCTATCAGACACCTGAAGCACACTGCTGTGGGACATCTCCATCTGCTACACAACGTGACATCCTACCCAGCATCATGTGCAGCCACCACTGCCTCAGCCTCTGGATATTAATTACCTTCCTTTGGTGCATGTGCTGGGAAACACACTTGGTTTCATTTCAGTGCAGTGCAAATTTTTTCCTCTGACACTGTGACTTTGTCCTATCTGTAACCTGGCATTTTGAGGCATCCCTCTTTCTTCCCACTCCAAACCGCAAGTTTCTCTTTGGTCTTTTGAACTGGATGCAAGCCTTATCCATAGTCTTTCAGCCAGCTGGTAGACCAGAAGGCAGACAGCCTACACTGCTTTTAGTTTTAAGAGATTCTTACTGAGACAGCCAACACTGTCTGAGTTTCTTGAGGAAGGAGTTAGAGTGCTAGAACAAAATGCTGCCCAGGAGATGAGTGAGGCTAATTGAGCCTTGCTGAAGGGCTGCTACCTTTTTGCAATGGCTTTTGAATGTTTATAAACTGACAGACCAAGACAGTAAGTTGAAACAGTGATGCTGACAACGGTTTCTCCTGTTGTGTCTTTGGGTAGACAAGAAGGCAGAAACCCTGACACAAGATTTGCTGCATGTGCTAATGATCAGTGTCTCCACACTACGTATATTAGCTCTTGAAAACTGTTAAAAACTAATTCAGTGAGAAGCACCAGTTCTGTCTCTCAACTCATATTTTTATATACTGATTTCCTGCAATTGCTAGCTGGAAAAATAGTAATAATAATAATAATAAAATCAATAACTCTGCCATGTATTTGCACTTCAGGCCAATCAAGGCAGAAAAATAACAAGATGCAATCTTGGAAGAGTTCTATTAACGGCTGCTACATCAAGTGTCTTCTTTCACTTTTTTTTCTGTTTCTATTTCAAAAAACAGACTTGGATGCTAATTTATACTCCTGAGTTTCATGAGAGTCAGTCTACCATTCTCTCTCAGCCAGGCATCTGAAGCAACAAAGCAATAGCTTCAGAAATTGATATAAAACAGGAAGAGTCAGACAAGGTGGCTGCATTCCCCCTTGGGAAGATGCTTCATTTCAGAAGAATCCAGAAGAGGGAGTACCCACATGAAAAAGGCCCCATGTACTGTGCAAAAGCCCTGTGATCTTCAGGTGACATTTCTCAACACTCCTTGGATTCTGGAAATCTGAGGAAGCAGTGCTGGAATGACAGATTACTGAAGACTTCAGACTGGCACTTCTAAGTAGGCTGCACTTCACTGTTTCCACTGTCACAAAGAATTTTACTATCTTTCCAAAACATTTGTCTCTACACCACTATTTCTGTTGTTTCCCTATTAAGCAGAAGATTGGCTGCCTCATTCCTTCTCTCTTGTATTCTGCAGGCTCCTGTTTTCCAGCACTGTTGTGACTTTATGATTCACGTGCTGCGCTCCATGATTGAGATGCAGCCTGTCCAACTGTGGAAAATCTAAATCCAAGGGATGTTATGGAGATCAACAACACTGCAGGTAACTCATGCTGTGGGCCTATAGTTCTCTAAAGAGGCAAAACAGCCTCTTTACATGACACCCACCTTGCAGCCTACAGCATCTTCAAATGAATGCCTGATGAAATCTAGCAATTATCAACTTCCTTTGGCTGGATTTTTACCTCCCTTACCTGGAGCCACCTTGATTGCTTTATCTTCTTCAGTCTCAAAGAGCTTGCCAATAAATATAAGAGTGGGAAGGAGGTATTAACCTGTAAGTCTAACTTTATCAAAAGGAATCAAGGAAAATGTCACAATGGCACAGAAAAACTTCTCAAACACACTGCAAGATTTAACAAGATGAATCAGCATGGAAGATGCTGCTAAGGAAAAAAAAAACAAAACAACACCCAAACTTTGGAATTTATTTGTTATCCTAAAACCTTTTGTTTTGTTTCAGCTTCCAGATAAACACACTGTAAGAAAATGATGCTCATGTTCCTATGGTTGAGAGATCTATCTTCAGATTTAGCCTGCAGGATGGTCTCATTCCACCCAGGAGTTTGGCAGAGATGCTCTGTCACCTGGTGGTATGCTTATTCCTGCAGAGGACACAGATGGCTCCTTCCTAGAAGTACTGAGATTTTGTTTTGTTTTAGCAGCACAGACAATTTTAATCTCAGACTCAAAGTAGAAAACACACTTTCATCCTCTTGGCACATCTTGGAACTGTCACAAAATAAAGCATCTAGAAAGAAAGGGAAGATAATATGTTTCCTTTTCTCTCCTGAGCTAGGAAAATCAAAGAGATTCACTAACCAGTTTGAATGCTCTTGCTGGGGCTGCCTGCGAGTTGGTCTCTACCAAATATTTCTCCCATGAGAAGGCTTTGGGATCCTTGTATCCTGAAAAACACGGAGAATTAACATGTAAGTAAGAGAACCCCACAATTATTCTTACAAACAACAGAAAAGCTGCTACGTAACATATGGCTATAATGTTAATGGAGCACTTAAAAAATGCATGGCATTGAAAAGTGATCTGTTTATTCATACACACTACTTAAAGCACACACAATAGCACTGCGAGTTTCTCAAGCTTCTGCACGAAATTTTAACCCCAATCTGAAAAACCTGAAGAGTTTTTTTTCTGTACAGCTTAATCCATTCTTATTCTGTTGCAAAAGCTGGCAATTAAGAGCAGCTAGTCAGAGGATTCTATGATGTGCAATGACATCACTAAATTCATTTCCCATTTTATTAACTATGCTATGTGTGAATGCTTGGCTGTTTGTAGTACCTTCTTGTCTCTTCCCACCTATTCATCCATAGCTGAGTAGAATTAGCAGTCTGGATGTGAAAGCTCCATCACCATTACCTACCTACCCAGGTACCCACATAGCTGTGCTTCTCTCTTCACCAGCAACTCCCAAATGACAGTTAAGAAAGTGCTTTACCTTTCTTTCTTCTTCCCATTTCAGTATTTTTTAGCCTCAATATTGTTCCCTTTAGGCGTGAGGGTCCAATCACTAATTGCATAGGACAGACTGCAAATTGCTGCACATAAATCTTTTAGCAGAGAAATGAGAATTGACTGCAGATTCTCTCAGGGGCACAGGCAATTGTGATGTGAGTAGTGGAGCTGTATACCACAGCCTTGGTGCACATTCCAGAAGCAGGAACAGATGTGGTGCTGCTGAAGAGCCCATAACCCCTTTAACATCTGCAGTAAAAGGCACAAAGGCTAATTCTTCCACTGCAAAGGCAGTTTGTAGTGGTACCCACTTCACTAAACTTGATATGCTGTAAGTAATTACAGAATTTCTTGCTCCAAGGCTGTCAATCTAGCTAACAACAGACATGATTTTTTAATTACTATTATTTTTAAGACAAATGAGAACTTCCATAGCCCTGAAAACAGCACTGATTTTCCTGCAGGCTCTGTCCTTTTTCATTTGCCCACATTCTCTACATTGACTGAATTCCAATGAAGCAGAAAGAGATGTGGCTTCAGTTGCTCCTTCATTTTCAGAAATTCTCTCATCATCTATAAAATCATGACACCAATTCCTCTTTTTTCCTGCTCACTTTAGAGGAAATTCTGAAAATAGCTCCAATTTCTTTCCCTCTGAAATAAAATTCAATTGCAAATTACCAAACCTTGTTCCTTTGCTTGAAAGAGCTGTAAAACAAACTACAGTGGCAAAAAGTATGAACAATAACACTGTTCAATCAGCAAAGAAAAGAGTCAATCTGTAACTTGCAAACATATAATTACGTGGAAGATAAAGCCTGCAGGTTTTTTGGCTGAGGGAGGAAATGTCTCACTTTCAACGTACCAGGTGGTGTTGTCAGTGGGGTTCCAGTTTCTTGGCAGTAGCCAACAGGACGAATATATGGGCTGCTAGATTCACACCTGAATCAAAGAGGAAAATTTGGCACAAGTCAATTTTAAAGCAGAAAAAAAAGCAGAATTTCAAATGCTCTCTGATACGCCTTCGCTAGGGTAGCAGATGCTTTCAGTGGGTGTGATCATGGTGTAAAAGACAAGCATTGCCTCGTTAGAAATTACACACCTAAGTTATCAAGGTATTCAAGCTGCTCCAGAAGATGTCTGCTGCTTTAAAATACAGCAACGACAACAAAATAGCTCCTACCCCCACACAGACCACACAAACCACAGTTCAGTCTGGACATAAATCATCCAAGTTAAAATACAAAGGAAGCAAGCAAAAGAAAAATCAAACACTTGTCCCTAACTGAAACACAATTACTGTGCAAGAAGGGGCAATGACTTCTAATATCCTAACAAGAACTGCACATGAGCCATTATTTCCAACCAAAACCTACTGGTGGTTTGCCTGGTTCCCAATTTTATTGCAAATATAGACACTCTGAGGCCCTGAAGGAGGGGATGGGTCCCATTTGAGACAGCCCCTTTAGTCACAAACTGTGTTTTCAGTCAAATGCTACTTTGAAGCTTTGTTTGCTTGTGTTTCTTATTAAAATGTTCAAATTCCAAACAAAACAAGACATGGAAACAAAGCTTCACAGACCAAAATGGTAAAAGAACTAGATCTAACGTTCTGCAAATAGAAACAGCAGTGCTACAAGGTTCTGGATGATATCTTTTTGGCAAAGAAAGAAAAAACCAACTTGGCACCTATTCTGAAGAACAATACAAAACAAAAATAAAAGGAGGTGGGTGAGAAAATATAGAGCACTGATCAAGTCAGTGCTACGTAGATAAGCACATGCCTTGTGGTGCTTTCACAGGCAAATTCAAAGAAAGTTTCTCCATTCATGTGGGCTGGAAATCATGGGCCAAAGAGAGAGTACGTTTCCTAGATTAATATTTTACCTGGCCCCAGCACGCAAGGCAGGGATTGAGATTCCCAGATGCAGAAGAACTGCAGTGCAGGTCGGGACTTAAAAGCTTAAATGCTGGCAATCACTTTTATTTTCAAAGTGCAGAGTTAACTAAACTCTGCTGAAGCAATTGGGAAGATTTTTACTGATCTCAGTACTGCTTTCAAATGTAAGTTTGCAGAGAGTTTGTAAGTTTGCCAACATCCATTACTAGTTCTAGAGGATGTCACTAATCAGAAGGGTTTGTCACCAGTGGAGCAGCTTATTCTTTCTTTAGTTCTCCCAAGGATAACATGAACCTGACTCCCAGTCAACAGCTGCATTACCCTGAACACTGGCAGGTCAAGCTAGTCCCACTGATTCTGCACTGAACCAACTGAAGTCATCAAACAGAAAGAGAAACTACTATGCCACTTTGTAATAGCCCCCCAAATTACTCAGATATTTGAAAACTGATTTCAGATCCTGATTTCAGTGTCTATGTTTAAAATATTAGATATCACCCTCTGTGAAAGAGTGAAATAAACCGCAGTAATGCTTGCAGACATGTAATAGAAAAAGATTCTCTGTACCAGTAGTCGTAAGTCTCATCCCAGTTATCAAAATGAATTAGCAGGCGGTTATCCACCATGTCACTGATGGTTGCAACACACATCAGTGATGGATGCTTCTTGTCCACTGCCTCTAGTTTCATTCCCAGACGAAAACCAGATGGTGTGACAGGCTAAGGAACAGGACAGCAGGAAAGAGAAATCAGTCATAGCCCAGGTTAGGCCATTTAAACTACTGCTGTAAAGTTGTTAGTTGCAGGTTATAACCCCAAACCCCACAGACCAAAACTCAGGCCATTAGCAAGAGGTCTACTGATTAGATTTCCACGTGTTTTGGCAGTAATTGTCACTTTTAAAAAAGGGCTGTGCAGCCTGAATAACAGAATCTGCAGGTACACAACAATGCAAACTGGAAGGCTATGATGCACAATCTTGTGTTGCTAAGTATTGGCTAAGGCTTAGCATGAGCACTGCGAGTCCTAGAGAAAAATAGAATCTTCACAAGCAGAGCTGTATGGTTAAGTCCAGATCCCTCTGCACTCAGTGCTCTGTCCATCAGGAGCACTGAATCCATGGGATTGGGGACTTTGTGTCATTAGACTACCACAAAATGGGAAAACTGTGTTATACAGAAACTGAGGCTAACAACCAGAAAGAAAACAACAGTGAGTGAAGGATGAAAAATACTCAAGATCCATTGCCTCATAATGAATCCCAGGGTGCACATGAGCATGCTACTGGTAACCAGAAATTATTTTAGAAATGATTAAATTAGACGAAAGTGACACAAATATCTTGGCTGTAGGGACACAGCAAAACAGTCCATTGCAATATATTTAACAAATGGTGGAGTAAATCTTTTCCTCCAGTACTAAGGAAGAAGGGAAATACAAATTCTCTGTCTGGACAGCCAGTGACTATGGGAAGGAAGAAAAATTGTAGTAGTTTCCCATCTTACAAATAAATCACAGCAGGAAATAGCTTGGATCTGACTGCTCTGTGGCCTCTGACATGAGCATATTAAAAACACGTAAATATTCTGGTCAAAACTTGCTTAGCATCAGAGCTGTTTGAAAACACCTTGTATTCAGTACAACCACTTACAGTGCTGAGGGTCTTAAAAAGGCTTTTCGGAGCTGCTTGAGCTTTGCAGTTCTTCAGATAGGAAGTCCAATTAAATTCTCCCTCCTTGAAACCTAGAAAGAGAGATAAAAAGATTGTTTTATACAGCCCTGTTACATTCAGATTGTTTTTTCAGAAATGGAAATTACCTAGGAAGGATACGAACTTTGCATGATAACTGCTCTTCTACAATCTTCAGGGGTTATGCATTTCAGCTAGAACATCCATCTCTCTTTCAGTACAATGTCCAATCATTGATCTCAACCTTCAAATGATTCCAGGAAATGGAATGTAGGAAAGAAAGCTCTGAACCCTAAAGAAACTCCTTGCTTTACACACTCATCCAGAGTTTCTAATCCAACTAACAATGTCAATCTTTGGGAACATCAAAACACACAGTCAGGACAGAGAGCTCTCAGTACAATTTATGCTTTCTTGTACACTGCTATATTATATTCATACCTTTAGGAGGGAGCAGCTTATGATTTGTTTTTTCACACCAGCCAACAGGATGGATGTCTGAGGAATCAGCATTAACCCAGAAGTCGTAGCACTCCGGATAGCCGTCAAAATGTAATCGCATTCTGTATCCTTGTACCTGTGAGCAGGGGAGTTCTGATTATCACACGTGGTCACATGGAACTTAAAGAAAAACACTCATAAAATGCTCCTTCTGTACTTGGATTTGTATCTAAGATCTGGTTTTATTTTCCCTCATCTACATCTCCTACTTTCCATGCTCCTCCTTCTTCGCTTCAAACTGTTGATGATAAAACTGGCCAGTGCAACTGCAGTGCCCTCGTATTCCACACAACCTATATCCTGTGCTGCAGCATCCTGAATGCAAATGCAGCAGGAGAACACTTAGGTTCACCCCAGCTCAATTCCATGAGATGCGTTGAAGAAGCATAAAAGCACTTCAGCTTGCTTATGCTTAGTAAGTCTTAGGGCCTAAATGCATTGCTTTTTTTCCACATTCATTCATTTTATGGAATGAATAGGTGTGTTACCATTATGAGTCACAGCTGTACAAATCTGACAGCAGGATTTCATATACAGATTCTTAATCACTTAATGTTATTCCTTCACTATCTGAAATCCTCCTCATCATTAATGAACAAAAATAATATTCTTATCTTTTCCACTTTTATTTTAACAAAAATACCACAAATGTGAACAGGATTTTTGGAATCAAAAATAGGAATGTCAACTACCTCTGCCACTGTAAGAACACAGAATCGAGAGGGGTGCTCAGGATCCAGCCCTTCTAATTTCATTCCAACTTTAAATCCATTTCGGCCTTGTGGGAATGACTGAGACTGTGAGAGGGAGGAAAGAAAGGAGAAACATTTTAATTCCTGAAGAGAAAAAGCTATAGCACAGCAGTCATCAGATACACCTCAGGGTTTGAATTTACAGCTCCGAGGGGCAAATTCTATCCCTAAATGATAGCTGCTTTAACAGACAAGCACAGGTACAGAGATCAGTCATGGCACGTTCACTGTATTTCAGGTTCACCTGTTATCCTAATTCACCTCTGAAAAACACTGAACCACGAGTCTGTTGCATTTAACTGGGAACAAATCTTTCAGCAGACACAGAAATGAGCTCTATTCAAACACAAAAGATCCCCCTTCATAGCCCAGTATAGGAGGGCTGGCAGAAACAAACAGAGAGGAAAGCTCAAATCATTCTGCCTGTGTCAGCACGAGGTCAGCAGGATGGATTTTCCCAAAAGGTAACTTCTCATCTTCAAACAGCAGAAGGGATAAAGAATGTTTAATCTGGAGCCCATTCACACAGCCATTCCAGAAAACATTTGTGGTTTTCATTTATTTGCAAACTTAATCCAAATTAAACATTTGGAGTACAGTACAGGCTGAAGAATTTTAACCAGAATTGCAAATAGCTTACTGGATCCAATGGAGTGCAAGACTTTCCTTCTCTCCTCACCCTACAGGCTGCAAACAGCCCTTGACTTTAAAGGATACACTCAGAGTTGAACTTCTAATTCAGGCTGGTACTCTGGAATGCAGAAGCAGCTTCACTATGCCTAAATTAATACCCACATTCTCTCAGTTTCAGTGGATCTTCCACAACTTCCACACTCCCTTGTATTTTATCTCTAACATTCACGACTTGACTTACAATTCTTCACACAGGAAGGCTGGGAAGGCTGCTGTACAGCCACAGATGAAACACAGGACATATGGAAGACATTAAAATGTTCCTCTCCAGCATTACTTAGAGGCTGCCTAACAACTGACCTATTCGGAGCTACCCAAAGCAGACTGAAACAGACATTGTTTATTTGTGAGTAGGATTCAATCCCTATTTTTTCAAGTGCTGCTTTTGGATGAGGCTCTCAGGATGGATGTCAGTTTCCACAGCACCTCAGGGCTGGAAACAACTGGGTTTTACTGCCTGTTTGCACCAAAACAGCTAATAAACCTAACTGCTGGTTTGAGGAAAGTCTGCAGTTCTGCTTCCACGGAGTCAGTGATTCTGTGAGATTGCCTGAGAAAAACACAGCAAGATCTGAAAAAAGCTACCAACCTCTCTGAACAGCTTGAGGGGAGCAGCTGGCATCCGTTCCTCTTCTAAGTAGGAAATCCAGTTCCACACCTTCTTCTTTGCAGGAACAACTGAGCAATCAAAAACAGAAACAAAAATGAATGTTTCTCTCAGGTGCTTCCCGTTCTGCCCTCTCTTCTCTTTCTCCTCCCATTCCTGCAAGTAATGTTTTAGAGCACCTGGAGCATCTCCTGACTGCTCCAGTGCTGAATTACTCTTAGAGGAGGCAGCTCCGAGTTCAGCCCAGCCACACACACAGCAGTGCTGTGCCTTGCTGTGCCCCTGAGGAGGCAGTGTGACCCAACTTTTTGAGGAAACGTACAAATTCCAGCAGCAGGACAAACCCTGCTCGTTTCTCATTAACCAAAATTGATGGCATCACAGGTCAAAGGAGTTCTGGCCCCCGGATTGCTGGCAAGCTGCCCGTGGAGAGCTGTCATGGTAATATTTTGACAAAGATATAACAGTGTAAAATTGTGGAAAATAATTCCTTCTCCTGATATTTTACAGAGAAATAAGGGATTGGGTAGGAACTAAAGGACAGCACAAATGGGAATGTGTAACTGCATCTCATGTAAACCTCAAACAAAACAAATGAAAAAGCAAATGAATTTGTGTTCACTAGATTTTTTTAATATATAAATACATGAATATATGTTTATAGCCTGCTAATAGCACAGTGCATCTACTGGAGAGGCAGTTGTCAGTACACAGATGATGAAGACAACGTGGCATGTGCTTGGATTCATTCTAGTAGGACCATGGTTGTCCACACAAAATTATGCTTTGAGTGCATATTAAAAATCTCCCCCCAGTTTACACAAGCTAGCTCCTTTAAGGTAGGTAATAAATTTATCCCAAGGTCTATAATCAATCCCACGTTGTTTACAACTCATTTGCTGTTGGGCATTTGCTGTGTGTGGCTCTGAAGCTCTCTAAAGTCAATGGAGAAAAGATGGAGAAATGGCAAACCTCGTATATTCCTGCTAATACCTTTCAGGAGACTGACTGTGGTAAGAGGGTTTTGTGCCTCATAAGCTACTCTGAATGTGGAATGAGCTCTACTGTCCTCTTCTGTTTACTACTATTCATTTTATAATAGCTAGTAAAAAAAATAATTATCTATAAACATTAAAGAAAAGAGACTATGAGCTTAGCTCACCTTGTTTTATTGGTTTACTGTTTCTGCGGCTTTTCATATTATTTGATTTATTCTTCTCCTAGACACAGATATGTTAAAAAAAAGTTTAGCAATATTGTTGTTTCCTCCCTCTTTGATCATCTCACAATGCATGTACAATAAGGATGTTACATGGATCTAACAGGAGTATTAGCTAGCATCATTTCCCTTTGAATAACCCTGCAAGAACGTTAGTAGGGCATGTTACACACATCACTTTGATCCTGCAGCATCCCAAAATGCTTTACAAATTATTCCATGTGGTACTAAAGTTCATTTAAATATGACCACTGAAGAGCAGTAGAGGCCCACAGTCTCCATTAGGAAATTAAGGATTTGCTTTCTGCAGTGCAGGATTTACTGCTCATGTAAGCAACCTTACTGCAATGCTCCATTTTCCTTTTGCTTTCTGATGTTCTTATGTCCATCTATGCCAGGGAATGGATAGGGGAAAAACCAACAAAGCACTTATAAAGCCCTGAAATTCAGAAGAAGCTTCAAGTAATTACCATCATAGATGAACACCCCAAAACAGGTTTCCTTGCGACACGCTTGGAGCCAAACTGCCATTCATAGCTGTATGAAGTTTTCAGACCCATGTTGAATTCACCCAGGGTTGTTATTCCTCAGAGTGAAACCCAAAGGGCAACATGTGAAATGCAAAGCTGCCTCCCAAAACACGCCCCAGACAAAACAGAGGGACCATTTCAAATGATGAAGAGGAGAAAAGGAAGAGACAGAAGTCAAGTACTTCTGCAATGTGTGTACTTAGAAATCTCTTAGGCACATCAAAGAGAAAGCTAAGCAATAAGATGAGTTAAATAATCTCTGTTCATGAGATCAGAAATTGCAGTTTGCATTACCAACAAGCACCCACTCCAGTGGCTCTGCATTAGAAAAACAAGTGCAATACACAAGTACAGATGTAATGGTTCAGGCCTGAAATTACATGCATGGTAGCAGAGAGCAGACTTGCACAAAGAAAGGCCCCTAAAAGGATTACAATGCTTAATGAAAGTTAAGATCACATCACAACTGAAGTACTGTTCAGATGCCATTAATACCTGTTTCAAGTGGTTTAGTGGATGTGCACACAAGGACATAATAAACAGAAATCTGGACACAGTCCTCAGCATCACACAGCATTCCTTGACTGTAATTAGGCATAATATTTTGGGGGCATGTGTTTTAATTACTGTGAAATGTGCTCAGGGCTGTAAGCAGAACTATGTTCAGTTACAGTTTGAAATCTGGACTTCACATGAGCTGTTCACCAATAGTGATTCCTCTCACTTCAGAGCTGAGCAGTGACCCAGCCTGTCCTCATGGGTACAAAACAACTTCCCTTGGTTCAGCTGTCACCATGCAGTGAGATGTAAGCCACAGCATTGTACGTGCTCTTTACACTTCTCCTTAAAGAAAAGACAGGCAGCCTCATTTACCTCATCCTCATACGCATTTTCCTCATCATCCTCAGACTCCAAAAGCAATCTTCTCTTTCTTCTGAGTCGTTTCACAGGTCTGTCAGCCTCATTTACCTGACAGCCAATGCTGGCATTAAGATTTCTACCATTTCCCCTGTTTCTGCAACCATCTGGAATTTCTTTGGTATCACTAAACATTCAAAATTGAAAACAAAAATCACATTAAAAGCCCAGCAGTATTCTTGTGGTATCCCCACTGCCTCTGTACCTCTTTGGCAGAACGAGGTTCATTTACCTGTCCCTGTGATGCTGTGAGCCTGTTTGAGCACAAAACTTCCCATTCTCAAAGCAATCCATTTGCTTGCAAGTCAGGAAATCAGAACAGGGCACGTCGTCTTTGGGCACTACAGGAGCAGAGAAAAACAAAACTATTAAAGGAAATTGTTAAAACCATGCATTTGAAACACTTCCATGCAAGGAAAGTGTCAAAGTCCTTTCCAAACTCTTATTAAGTGAACCTCAGGATGCACTGGGAGGAAAGTAATTATTACCAGTATACAAATAGAGTGTACCACCTCATTAAAGACAAACTATTTTTATCTGTAATATTTTAATTTTGGAGCAGCTCTACCCTATGTCGAAGTATTAAGTAAGAATATAATCTCAAGGCTATAACCAGGACACGATTCCTATTTCTTTATTCCTAGTAACCCTCTAACTTGAAATGTGCAAGGCCAACAGTGCTTAAAGAGTTCTGCCCAAAGAGTCACACTGGTAGATTAAAAGGATGTGAAGAATTCTTGGTGCTGAGGTGACCACAGATGAGCTGGTTCTTTGCCTGATGGATTGCTGCTGCCTCAGCACTGGCAGGGGAGGAAGACTACAGCCAGACAGCAGGAGCACAACAGAATGCCTTAAGGGAACCTACAGAGCTTACAGTGAGTCCTGAGATAAGAGAAACAGCAGGGAAAACGGGTAGAAAGCCTTCCTACCAGAGAAAAGAAATAGTTCCACGACAATAGTGGGGAAAGCTAACTGTAGCAACTTGTCCAGGCAAGCAACAAGAGGAGAGTGCTCTCTTCCTACAGAAGAAATTCCCTCCATGGGTGTGCATGATTTCAGGGATGCAGCCCTGCCTTGATCAGTGATCCAGTACTGGGTTGCTTTGGCACATTCACAAGGTAGGCCTGCCAAAGCAATGAGTAATTTGGTCATAGGAAACAAGCGATTGAGGTGAGGGAGACTGCCCAGCTTAACTGAGAGGTCTGGAATGAAAAAGTGAGAGGTTGGCATAGAAGTGATTTTGCGCTGCTGGTTTCTAGAAAAACAAGAAGAGGTCTGCAAAGACCAATGTGAGAAATTTGTTGATCATTACGTTGATGCATGTTTAGTAACATGCTTAGATTGTCTTGTTAGAACTCTATTTCCCCTAATTTAGATTGCAGCAGCCTTGGAAATGCTGAAACTGTAGCAGCTAACAGTATCTACAGCAGGAGTCAGGTTAGACTCAACTCTCTAGGAGTTTTAGCAAAGCTAACACAGTAGGGATTGAGTAATCAAGGGACACGAATCCCAGTTAGCACAGCACCATGTCACCCACTCACACTGCACATGCAGGTGGAGGAATGACACTGGAAGCTCCCATTGCCCCCAGGGGTGGTCAGTGAAGGCACATCTATAGTAGTGCATCAAACAGTTCAGTTTAATACAAATGCAGATCTAACTAAAGCTGTCATGACAAGGACATCACCCACATTAAGGACAAACGTGGGTGCCATTGATGATCTGCTGCCCTGGAAAGAAGGGGCTCCACCTTGTCAGCATCACCTGAGGATTTAAGCTTAAACTCAGTGGCAGTGGAATGTTTGACCAAGCTGACAAACCCAGCCCACATCATTTCTATAACCACACTTACCTTCCACACAGGAGAGCACAATGCAGGAGCCAGGTACTGTTATGACTGTGCAGCAATTACATTCACTTTAAATACTTCTAATATATTCAAAATAGACAGTGACTCACTGCACATGCTGTGTCAGGGAGCACAGCACTGCTGAAACACACATTTCAGTTCTGTTTCTAGAAGCTTTTTCAGAAACTGTATATTCTATCTCACAGCCAAAAGCTCACCTTCCAAAGCAGTGCTAAAGGCAGCAGGAGCGTTGATAGCAGCAGGAGCAAAGCTGGCTGGACTGGCATTTATTGCTGAAGCTGAAAGAGTTTCTAAGGCTTCTGCTTTTTCTGCTTCAGTAATGATTTCTAGCATTCCAAACTCATTTAAAAAGTACTGCAGGTAACAGAAGAAAGCAGGCGAATGAGCAGTAGAAAATAAGTTAGGAAAGGGAAGAGGAAGGAATAGGATTCCCTGAGAAGCAGTGAGGTGTGAGACAAAAAGAAATGGCTGTATGTAGCGTACAAAACAGTAAAAACAACTAACCATAAAAATGAGAGACACCAAATAACTTCCTTGAAATGCCAGCAACGGGCTCCCAAAAATCCCAGCAGTGCATTTCATTGCCAAAGGAAGCCATGCTAGTTCTACCTGCTTTGGATGTGTTCCCCCTTTTAAAAGGCAGACTTACGACAAAAGCACCACAATAAATACCTGCAGAAAACCAATTGAATGCAAACCTCTGTTCTGATGGTTCAAACCTAGCAAAGCACAGTCACATTTACAGCAAATTCCCCCAGATCTCCACGCAGGCAGGAATCACCCAGCTGTTAAAAGTCCCATTGCAATGGGGAACGCAGACCTTGGAGCAACACGATGCAGTGAGCTGCAGGGGCTGGGGGCACAACTGGGCAACATGAGCTTCCCAGAAAAGCAGAGGGACGTGGGGATATGCAAAGGCAATGCTGTTGGACAACAGAAGGCATGAAGAGATAATGAGCAGCTCTTCTCCTTGCGTGTATCCCAGAGAACCAGGATGTGCCCAACCTATAACAGGCCAGGAGCAAATGGGTGCAAAGCACAAAAACCCTGCCAGGCACATTGTAAAATATATATATATTAATATATATATATATAGAAAACCTTCTTTCTGATGAGCAAATAGCTCCAGTCACTCCTTGACCTTCTTCACTGCCTGCAGCACAGAGCTACTGAGCTCAAGAATGAAAGAGGCAAGTCAAAGGTGGGTTCCATTTGCAAGCTCTGCTCCAAAGCTTCTTCCCACAGCCCTTTATTAGTTTGAAATCTTTTCACAGCCATCCGTTCTTCACTTAAAACTTCCAAATTCAGTCTAAAAACATTGTGTCACCTCTGAAGCAGGGCTCCTCATCAAGGAGCACTATTCTGCCTCTATCACTGCACGCTTCCTGGTCTCTCATCCCACCCCCAGCACCCTATCAAAGCCTCATCCCAAATATTCTTCCTCCCCCTGCCTGCTTTTGATCTGAAACCTCTATTTCTTAGGGCTTCAAAGATGCTGGACTTGCTTCTACAGAGTGCACCTCTTCCTCTGCATTCTCCCAGAGACAGAGCACCGTTTTTATTTCAGCAAGAAATGGCTCATGACAAAGAAATAATCATTCTAAGGTAAGAACCCTACACTTCCTGCAGACTGGCCAGCTTCAGAGAAGAAACCCATCACCTGTCCCCACTGCCAGCACAGCACAGCATCACAGCAGTCCGGCGCCATCACTTATGAGGACAGCTCAGCATGTCTCAATGAGCAGAAGGTGGGCAGAAGGAGCATCCCCAGATCTCCCTGTGCCATTGAGCAGCAGAGCTCCCAGCTGGAGGTGGGGAAGGACGCCAACATCATTCTGTAATAGCAGATCAGTCCCTGGGGTAGATATTCTCGCATACCAATCAACAGCTCTGATTCAGCCCAAGCCAAGGAGGACAGGGGGCTGCTATCGCTTCCTTTAAGGATTCCATAGTGTACCTGCAGCCTTATTAACTGATGAGTCCCACTCCAAGCCTCCAGAAGCAAAAGACTGTTACAAAAAACACTGTCATATTATTAACAGTCCCTGATCTGCTGCAGAGGACAGGCTGTCCCATGGAGCCAACCCCCACTTTGATCCCAGCTCTTCAAGGCAATACTGCTCACCCTTCAGTTCTGGAAATTCACAGCTGTGCTTTTATCAGGATTGCATCCTCCACTGCACATTTAGAGGAGATCAATGCAGCACATTTGTTAGTTTGAAACTGACATGAACCCTTCAGAAATAATCCTGAGTTAACCCTAAAACCCTAAAAGTTCCTGAGAACTTTTAAAGAGGGAATTCAGGAAAAATGCATTTCATTGTGTATGCCAGAACTGGAATACAGCAGGAAAATAAAGTGCTTCATATTTTTGCAGGAAAAAAAAGTGTTTGGCATCTTAAGAATGAAGTAGCTTCCTGTGCAGCCAGTTATGTTCCAGCCAAACACTTCTACTGCACTCACTGGCCGTGGTGTTCAGTGCTCTCACCCTCCATCATCTAACATAAAATAATGCTGTATTACTTGTTTTCTTTAATCCAAATAAGCAGTGTGGTGCTTTGCTGGTTCTCTACTGGCAGCCCATGGAGGGACTTCTCTGCACTACAGGATATGGGAAGGAAGAAAGAGATGTCAGCATCATCAGGAGGTGGTGGACCTGATTCTGAATGCCTGATGACCAACAATCTGATTTTTTTCAGAGCTCTCAAGTTCCTTCAATTCCAATTTATCTCTAGAAATTGATTTTTTTTTTTTTCCCCAGATTCAGATCTTGACGCCTTAAGGACAATTTTATGTATTCACTTTCAGCCACCAGAAGTGCAATCAAACTGAAATAACAGCTAAAGGTAATTTGGGAAACAGTCAAGTCACCTCCTTCCCCCCTCTGCGATAGTACATCATGTTTGTGGCCATCAGATCTTGGTTGTGATTTATAGGAGAGCTGTACTGGAGTTACCATCGTGAGTATATCAGACAGAGGCAGCTGTAAAAAGCTGTCAAAAATAACCACTGGTGTGAAAAGAAACTCAAGGCCCAGACCCATAAATATTTACTTATAAAAAAAGGTTTTCCCATTTTGGGCTGAATTAAGGGGACTTCTTGCCAAAATAAGTTGCCTGGACATGACTGAGAATTAGGAAGATCAGATCCCAGAATTTCCATCAGCAGAAACAATTATTTAAAATACTTCCTACCTTTAGAAATTAATCGAGCAACAAATTAGAAGGGGAAAGGGAATATCATCAGGCTTTCAGAAGCATCACTAAAATGCCACCACTCGCTTGTAGAGCTTACTCAGCTGTCTGAAACAAACTGTTTGCTCTGCACAACTTCTACTTGCAAGCTAGAGAACATCAGGTAAATACTGTAGCAGTGCCTAAGGCACAGTGGCTGCTCGTTTATTGTTTCTTTGGATTCTTACTTGTATGCTGCTACTGGGTAAGGTACCAATGCCGTCTTTCCAGTCTAAGGCACTCAGCAAATCGTGGTCTGCTGTCGGGATGCTGATGGTGCTGCTCTCCAGGACATTCTGTTCCATCTTTCTGCTTAGTCTTTGGGCTCTTTATTGAATTTTAAGAAAGAAAACTAGGATTTGGAAAAAAGAAAAATAATAATAATCAAAGAATAAATCCTGCATTCTCTGGATTCAGTAGGAGCTATGCTCTGGGTATCAGCAGTACCAGGATTTAAAACTGCAGAATCATAAATACAGAGGAGCATGCATAAACTCATATACCATATCCACTGTGACAAGTCAGTACAGCACTGAAACAGCAGCATTTGTTGCTACGTTTCTTTGCACTGCAACAATGCTTAGGTTCCGTGCTAGAAATTCTACAATGCTCTTAAAATGTTTTTTGCCCACGCGCTGCCTTCGTGTCCCAGCAAATGATCTAATAGGTTCCATCAGAAGAACTGACTGAAAGCCCCAGCTGTATGAGCCCCCACTTCCCAATTAGTCAAATATTACCGCAGTAGGCACTGAACAAACACTGACCGTACATTAACTGTATGCTGCTGCCCTTTAAACGTCCCCTGAATATTTTCAATCTGCAAACATAACAGCTTGCCTAAAAACAAACGACAAAGACTCACAGCCTTCCCTTGAGCTGGCAGTACTGCTAACTATTCCAGCGTGAGCAAAGCCACTGATGTTAAGCACAAAGCTGAAGGCACGAGCTGAGCTGCACTCCTATGGAAATGGGTCAAAACCACGCATGGATGGGGCTCTTTGCTCTGACTTTTGGATTCCCACATCTGAGCTGGACAGGTCTGCTCTCAGCTCTTAGATGAGTAACAAGGTCAGGCATCATCCAAGAACAATTTGCTTCATCTGCCTTTGGCAGATTGCTTCTCTCCTTAAGCACTGGAGCGCAGTGACAAGGCTGGGGCACGGTTTAACTGCTGGGTGCTCACATTGGGACAGGTGAACTTCACTCTGATGTGATGTCTTCCACATGCTAAACCATCCATCTGTAGGCTAAGTGTGAATTTACTGCAGCCAAAGGCAAAACCACAGACCTGACACGGGTAATTGATGATGCCTGAGCATTCCTGCAGCTCTAATTCAAGCATGACAGCTCAGTATGATGATCTTATTTAGGTCGAAATCAGGACAGATGTATGTAGATTGCATTTCTAGATATCTTTGCATAGCACAGTTTAATCCCTGTAGTATTTGCTTTATTTTTTTCCCCCCAAATGCATGTACCCAACTACTTACAATCCTGCCCATGCAGCAGAGCAGCACATGCTCTGCTCAGGTTGAGCCACAACAGTGCAAACGGGAGCCAACAAAGCAAGGCTGAGATGCAGCATCCAGCCCAACTGCCTTCGGTTTCAGTGGCACCACAGGTGCTACCCGGTGTCCTTGGTGATGCAAACAGAACTGCTGCCCCCAGCCCAAAGCTCAGGCTGGGTGCCATCCAATGACTGCAGCCAGAGGCACCCCAGGCATTAATCTCTGATGTGCCCTCGTCCACCTAGAAACGCTCGTTTGTGGTCCATGCTTCAATTTCAGCAAGGACAAAACCATCACTTTTTGTTATTATTTGTGCTCAGGCTCTAAAAATAAAAAAGCTGCAACATCAAGGCTGTCTGCAGGGCTCCCTTTGGGGAAGGGGTTTGGAAAGTGCTCGGACAGAGCTTGGGCCAATGTAATTAAACCACAGAAGTAATTAAACTGCTGTCAAGAAGTATAATACACGAAACAATCTTGGGCTATCTGGAGAAGGCCCAATATGATAATGGGCCTTTTCCATCTCCTGTGCTTTATAAATCTATTAAAAGCCCTAGAAAAATGCAATGAAGAAATTACCGTTCTTATAGGACTCCCTACCAGGACAATCTACAATAAAACCAAGATAGCCCAATAAAAGGAAGCAAACTGTGCAATTAGAAAGGCAGCAGAAACTAACTTGAAGCATTCTGAAGAGCCACAGTCAAGCACAAACGTTTCTGATTTGTCCCTATTTGCGATTGCTTTTCATTTTTAACATGATAAGACTGAGAAATTTTATTAGAAGATATAGCAAAGCGATGATGAGTCATCCAGATCCAAGCTGGAGATTCAGATGTATGAAATGATAAACGACTGGCACGCTGGCAGAGAAAACGGTTCATAATTAATATGCTACCACCCAGACCTCTGTGCTTTATCTTTAGATTTGAAATCTGCAGGAAGAGGAAGCCAGAAATACTCAGGTTTTGATCTCGTTTCTGTTACTGAACCTCAGTGCAGCCTTGGGAAACTGCTTCATCGTTACTGCAGAAAACCAGCTGTAGCTTTTAACATCCATCTTGCCTTCATTGGGAGGGGAAAAAAAAAGAATACAGGAAAAAAGGCACAAGTTCATACAAACAAATAAAAGCATGGAGGCTGAATGAGTCAATTGGGCTTCATTATTTTTCCCTATACACCATCAGATCTAATGGGAAGAGAGATATTTCAACAAAAATTCCATTTCACGTGCTGTCCAGCTTGACTGCCAATGACACCAGGATTTTGGTGTCTTTATACGAGGGTAAAATGTGAGAAACACAATGATGTAATAAACCCAAGGGCTGTAAATCAAGTAAAAAACAATCTCAGGTTCACAGCCCTTCTGGCTAAGCCTCCATACAGTAGGAGGTGAAATTCCATTCAAGAAGCAGCTGGCATCAGGGAAAGTATTTGATATTGTGCTGTTCTGGGAATAACCAACTTACAAATCACCCTTCCTCCCTGAAACAGAATGGGAAACCTAGCAAAGCTGGGCATTTCATTCAGTGTAATATATATGCACACCAACAAGCCAGGATTCAGAGCTCTGAGCATCCCTTTTCCTGTAAAATTCAGCACAGTTAGGTAACAGCCACTATATTATATCTGTCATTCATTCTTATGACATTAGTGGAGAACTGAACCGCAATTTGAACAGGAGAAAAAAAACTTAATGAGTTCTCACAAGGCACAGCTAATCCTGTTTCTGGAACAGCTTTGAAAACTTACCATTTCAGATAAAAATTGGTTGCCTGTCCCGGGCTATGACGGTGACTGATGATCTTTTACTTACCCATCAAAAAATATTACTCACCTCGGGCAAGCAATATTTTGCAAGGCTGAACTAAAACAATTACCAGAAGCCCAGCCTCACCTCCAGGAACCTCATCAGCACAGGCACAGATTGAAATGAACTTTCAGAGCTTGTAACGAAACCATACCAACACATTTCAAAAGAAAGCGTTTGCAGCCACTAGCAAGCATTTAATAGCATGAGTAACACAGAGCTGCTTTCACTGTCTGCTGCGTAAATGAAGGAAGAATCAAACCTGGGCTCACTGCACAGGTCTGAAGCAAGGAGACACAGGCTTTGCCTCAGCTCTGCTCAGTTAAACTACTTTGGTTTTTGAGGGGCTTGCAGTGTTTGTTTGTACAATACAGTCCTTGCAAGGTGACTGCAATGCACATTAATGTATGGATTACAGCTATCTGCTATTGTGCTGGAGGACTCATAAACAGGCACGGCGGCTGTGTGACTTTAATCCATTTATAAGATCAGACACCAATATCACGAGCTCACTCTAAACCAGGCAGCTGATCCTGGTATTAAGTCCAAAGCAGCATTGTCATTCATAAGCTGCTATCTCTTGGTTTCTTGACACAGTTGTGTCAAAAAAATCCCAACACATACTCCTATTTATTTCAGCTCAGAAAAGAAAGCTGCTGCATGGGCTGTGTGTGCTCAGAGTGTGATGCAGTCTGCACAGAAACCCATCCTGCACTCTCTTTCCATTCGTGTGCCATCTCACAGTCACACAGCAGCCCTTCTCCTACCGTTTTCTTGCAAAAGGTGAACAAAACACTCAGTGCTGTGCTGCAGAACCTATTCCCAGGAAGGACGAGGATGCAAGGAAGGCACAAAGCCTCCTGTGCCCTCCTTGGGAAACCTGCTCCAGTGTGTCACCACCCTCTGAGTGAAGAACTTCTTCCTAATATCTAACCTAAACCTCCCCTGTCTCAGTATAAAACCATTCCCCCTTGTCCTATCACTATCCACCCCTGTAAACAGCTGTTCACCCTCCTGTTTCTACTTACCTCAGAAAAACCGCCACGTTCAGAACTTCTGCAATGGTGGCATAAGACAAGGAGGCTGTGGATGCCCCATCCCTGCAGGCATTCAAGGCCAGGCTGGATGTGGCTCTGGGCAGCCTGGGCTGCTGGTTGGTGACCTGCACACAGCAGGGGGTTGGAACTGGATGAGCATTGTGCTCCTTTGCAACCCAGACCATTCTAAGATTCTATGACATTCCCATAAGATGCCCAAAGTTGTCCCGTTGCTAAACCTGTGCTCATTTCTACAACAACAGATGTAAGACACAGATGCTCTTGACCAGAACTGTTCTCACTCAGAATGTAATGACCTGTAACATAGCTGTACGATTTCTCATTCAAGAGAAAGTCAATTCTGTGGTAACATAAAAATTATAGTGCTGGGAGAAAAAATAAAGTGGTTCTTCTAATGGAAAACTGAAAGCTCAGTTGCCACTTAAATGCTTAACTAAGAAACAAAGAATTAATTTTGTAATAAAACACGCTCTCAAAGTGGATGTAGTTAAAGAAAACAAGAAGAGCGTGCCATTACATTTTGTTGTCCTCCAACATTTTGATGTCTGCAATGATTGCAAGTTGGCAGAGGCTTTCAAAAAGAATTTTAAAGGTACGTCAAAGTTCTGCACTGTTTCTTTTATTTGCTTCTGTTCTGAAGCCTCGCTGACATTGTGCCTTACTTAATCTCCATCTCATCCTTTTGGGGAGAAAAACTAAGGCTGATTATCTAAGACTGGCATTAAGGCCACTAATATTAACCTCCAAAACTACCAGCACCTCCTCCAAAGCAGTTTTTTAAGTGTCACACTGACACTGACAGCAATTGCTCCGTGTTGAGCAACACATGCTTAGGTCAAGCATTTCAAAAGGAAAAAAAAAAAAAATGCTCAGAACTGACAAAGCAAGTTTAAAAAGTACAAATAGACATAAGCTTGTTGTTTGGATCCATTTGATGCTGAAGTCAATAGGCAGAACCAGAGTGTCTGTACTGCATGTAACTGTGAAATAACAATCACAACACAGATTTCTTTCTCTGGTATTTGTTTTTTAAATAGCTTGATATAGGATGTAGTCACTTTGTTATTAGTAGACTTAGTGTTACTACAGAATGAAGGAAGTTAGGTACAATCTGGCATAGATGGCCAGATCAAAATATCCAAGCTACCTTCAGTTAACTCTGTGTGCAGGGGGAGAAAGAATCGGAACAGCAATGAAGCACTGCCTGCCTTCTCTGTGCTAAACAAATGGAGAACTGCAAAACTATCATAGTCCCTGCTGGAGGAAAGGCTAAGACAGAAAGGAGTCTCAGAAAATCTGGACACAAAAAGGGTCAGAGAAGGAACTAATTAAACAAAAAAACAGGAATTACTTTTTCAGAATAAAGACCACAGCTTGCAAGCAGACATAGATCATCTTCCAGCCTTCCTTTTCCATCAGCAGCTTCAGCAGGTATAGGTGGATGGGTACCATAATCACAAAGGGTGAGCAGAGGAAGAAAACTTGATAGTTCTGTCAGCAGCAGTGTTATTTAGCCAACAGTACACTTAAAACAGAAGTCAAATGCAAGTGAACGACAACTAAAAGAAGAGGTAACAGGCAAGGGCCTCTGCCTTTCTTCAAAAAGGGGAAAAAAACAAAAAACCCAAACCAAACCCACTGCCTTCATCAGACCAACCTGCTTCCTATGCCTTCTATTTATTTATTCAATAACTTTGCATATGTTCCAGTCCTGGAGCATCAGGAACGCAGGAGGGCTGTCATGTACTATTTGGAAACCCACTCTGACACAGACTGCAAGAGACAGGCTGCTTGATCAGAAATAAAAAATAATTATGAATAAGGCAAGAGATGCTCCATTTAAAAATAAAACACCCATTCTGTTGGCATTGGACATGCCAGTCTGCCCATCACCACGTCCCCAGTGACTCACTGTACCAAGAGAAGCACATCCACACACGTGCTTCACCTGCTGAGCACAGTCAGTGCTGCTAATGAGGAAGGCCTAGGGTGGAAGGAGCCCCATTTGCTGTGCCAACTAATTGATTCCAAGTGCCACAGCTTTCAGCTGCCAATGTTCATTAACAAATAAACATTTGATCTTTTCTCCCACCAGCTTCTGATCTAATTCTTCCATCTACTGTGCTAACCCTCTTCCTTTCCTCTGTCTGATGGAGGCACGTGGCACTGATGCAAGTTGTGGAAGGCTGAGAAAAGACAGAAATACATTTGTTGTTATAAACTATGGGAGAGGGGGAACTGCGTGTGTCTGGAGCAGAAGAACCAATGCTGCAATTCAGGAAGCACTGTGTTATTCCACAGGATGACTGCAAAGATGCAGATCAGCTGCTGTGGCATTTCAGCCTGGTTTTGACTTAATCTAACTGTTTTCCTGACATACAAATCCTGAAGTTCTATCAGTGCAGAATTTCCCCGATTCCTTCCTGTTCAGAGCAGATCACACTCCACAGCCTCTGCATGGCAACCTCACAGCAGTGGTTTCTTCTGGGCTGGAGATGACCTCCCACTGGCAGGCTTTTGCACTTCTCACCTCCAAAAATAACAGGGCTCGTATGGATCATAGAGGTCTTTTCCAACTTTAATCAATTTAGGATCTCCAAGGGGCAATAAAGGGCAAAATCTGTGGCTCATGGGGCTTTTGCAGGGCTTCCATGGGGCCTCCAAGGCACCACTTTGTCACCACTGTATGGAAAAGACAAGGGGCTTACACTGAGGCTGTACCCCCAAATCTACAATCCCACAGTGCAATGTATATATAATCATACATAAAAACACGTCAACTAATAGCTCTAAGATGGTAGAAATAAGGGAAAACCTTCCCCTCCAGATGGAATGGCAAAATTCCATGTCGACCATTACAAACTGAATTCGCAGGTGCTTTTTAAAACAAATTCTAGATGTTACTTCAAAGACAATCAGCCTAAAGACCAATGCCTACCGCTGCCTTAACATTCCTGCAAGTAAAGAATTGGTGTTAAAATGCAGAAAGCATGCCCGAGGCAAATAAACACTCTCAAGTCACATGAAATTGTGGTCAAGAGCTGTCAGCAGAGCACCTCTGTGCACAACCACACATCACACCACAGCTGACTCATTACGGCAATAAAAACAACAAAGGTGAGTTAAATTAACTCTGCCTGAGTGTGTGTGTGTGTGATGGTGCTGGGCAGGCAGCATGCAGCCCAGCTCTGTGTCCATCTCCACGCTCATGATGAAGCCCAATGTATTTGATGCATGTTCTTAATGACAGGAAAAGATGCAGTCAACTTCAGGCACTATAACACTCCCCTCTCTTTTATGCCTCTTCTTATACAGACACTTTATGCGATTCTGCACTAAACATCAGAGCTCTTTATCCCTTAATCCTGACGACGGACAAAAGCAACGTTGTGTTTTTTGGTGGTTTTTTTACTCATCTAAGCAGCACTTGAAGACATCAAATGCATTGATATTAAGATCTAATCCAACTCCCTGCAGCATTGAGCAGCATCAATGAAACCACCCTCATCTCATTCCTCCAAACACCAAACTTCATTCAGACTGTCCCACACTCATCTTTACGCAGAACAGCGCCCAATGATTCCGGAGCTCTGAGCTTATTGCTCTACTTATCCAGCAGCAGCCTTCCCTCCATCCATTAATCCTCAATTTCATGGGTTCTGTGCTTTTCTCCTGGAGAACCTCTGCTTTCAGAAAGCTTGGCAGCATCGCTTCTTGTGTAGAATCTCCATCCGCATTCAAGCTCAATACTTGGTTAAGCCTCCAAAATTCTCTCCTTTGCTGATGATCCCCTTTGAGGGCAATAAAACACGCTCTCAAAGAGGATGTAGTTAAAGAAAACAAGAAGAGCGTGCCATTACATTTTGTTGTCCTCCAACATTTTGATGTCTGCAATGACTGCAAGTTGGCAAAGGCTTTCAAAAAGAATTTTAAAGGGACGACAAAGTTCTGCACTATTTCTTTTATTCGCTTCTGTTCTGAAGCCTCGCTGACGCTGTGCCTTACTTAATCTCCACCTTACCTTTCTGGATAAGCTTTGCAGCCTCCCAGCGCCCAGGTTTCCTCAGCAAGCACAAATATTTTGGGATATCTGCCCCCACAGCCCACAAACTCATCTTCTGACGGCCTCCTGCGTTCGTGGCAGCGCGATGACACGAGGCCAAACCCCAGCAGAGCCCCGCCACGGCCAGGTTCTGAGAGACCAGGATCGAGGGAACAGCGGAGAAAGAAGCAAACCCGCCCGGCCCCGCGGCTCACAGAGCGGCTCTGGAGCTTTGCACGCGGACTTCCAGAGCCCGCAGCGGAGGCACTCGCACCCAGCAGCGGGCGTCGAGCAGCCGAGGGCCGAGCGCTGCGCTGCGCTCCGCCGGGGCCGCGGCGCCCTGACGGCGGGAGGCGCCATGTTCCCACCCCTCCCCGCCGCCCCGCGCCCCCCGGCCCTCAGCGCCGCCGCCGCCGCCCGGCCCCTGCCACAAGATGGCGGCCCCCGCCCCGCCGCTACTCACCGCCGCGCGGCCCGGCCCGGCCTCCCCGCGCTTTTCTTTTCTCTTCAACTCGGGCAACGTTTAGCGAACCGGCGGCGGGCAGCGCGCATGCGTGGCTGCTCCGACGGCGGCCCCGAGCCCCACGGCTCCGCTGGGGGCGAGGCGGGGCCGGGCGGCGGCAGAGCGGGCGGGGACGGGGCGGCTCCGGACGTCCGAAACGGGGATGTGAGGCCGGGCCTCGAGAGCGGCGCCTCCGTTGCTTTGCGGCGGAGCTCGCTTCGCACCGCTCTGTTTCGTATCTGGGAACGTCGTGTGCGTGTGTTTGTTTGTGTGTTTTTCCGTATTTGAATTCTGAACCGACGAAACCGTGCAGCGCCAACGCTGTGGCAAAGGTTGTGGTGCAGAAGCCGCGTTTGCACTCAATGAGCAGAAGAGAGCTGCTCGTTCGCAAGATAAAAGCACCCCGTGCCGAAGGCTCTGCTGTTTAACCGCGTCCTCGTGCTGCTCGCCACGAGTCGGTGCGGGATTCCTCACCGTGAAAGATGGCATTTCAAAAGAGGAGCACGCGAGTTAAACCAGCTGTTCTTAGAGGAAAGCAAAAGCG